ACACACACACACACACACACACACACACACACACAGACACACACACAGTGATTCAGGAACAAACCAAGCATTAACTATAAGGTCCCAGTTTTGCACGGTTCAGGGTGCCTTAAGCATGACTTATCCCGGATGAAATCACCCTGTGCAAATGATCCATCTCAGATGCTCATGGGCAGCCAGCATAACAACAAACATTTGACACAACTGACGGCTTGAGGGCAGCTGATATTTCCATCACACAGAAGAAAAGAAGGCCTGATAGCTCCGAGTATAAAGGTGACGCTGCCATTTACACTGTGCTCACAGCTGTGTGGAATTGTTTTTGATATTCTGCTGCTTCATGAAGGGAACTGTGAAAAGAGGGTCAGAGCAGCAGCTTCTAGGGTTGTAGTGTATTTTCTCTTCACAATGAAAAAAAAAAAGAAGAAAAACAAGAGGGAATAAAACGCTCTCTATTTTATGGGCCCTTTGGGGGAGCTGAATGCTCAGCTGCACTCATGAGACACACTGTCTTGCAACAGTAAAAGAGTATTACTGGTTGCAACACGAGCACATTGCCTTGTTGCCCTGTGACAAGCAAGTGAAGGTTTTTCTTTTGTGGTCAGTTCAGTTTAAAGGAAGAACTGAGATTCATAAATCACACAGGGAAGTGACAAATCGATCGTGCACTCTGCCAGTGTTTCACATTTTGTATTGGGAATCCTCTTTTTCTGTTTGTATCTAGGTCAATACAGAGACAGAGACCCAGACAGAGAAAGGCTCTGACATGGGGAAGCATTGGCAACTAAAGGACTCTCTTTGTCACTGTTTGATGCTGGGGACATAAAATTAACACCACTGTATACTGCCTTAGTCGCAAATGTAACATCAGTGCATTGGGTCAATTCTAGTCATTAAAACGAACATGATTGAAATGAGATTGTACATGATGGCGCCCTCTGGGAAAACTAAGGTGGGCATATAATATAATTTCATAAATGTTCCACTTGAGGTTTTCTCATTATCTTGCGTTAACCTCTCCTGTCGGCACTCCCGTGTGGAACCATCATATCATTTCCTCCGCTGTAACATCCCTGACCTCATCTGACTGGTTGTTTTCACTGACTCCTGCACAACAATTCATACATGCGACTTTTCAGCAGAAATAAAATACTGAGCTAATTAATTTTCCAGGAACATTAGTTTTCAACCAATTTTCTTAATTTGCAGAATTCACAGTCTGAAGAGCAGCAGTACCCAGATCACCATGGATACCTGACGGCTGTCGTTTTGAGAGTGAATAGGAATTAGTAGTCATCACGAACCACATCCCAGACTTTCCATTAATTGCTGAATCACTGGCACAGTGGGTGATCAATTTTCCTGAACATACTTGTCATGAATATTTTCTCATTTGCATTTTGATTGCTTAAAAAATCATCACATACACTGAAGGAGGTTCATTGCATGACACTTGACAATTTAGTCTGCTCTAGGATGTTCATTCTATTTATTTAAAACTGGTAAGAATCAATAAGAATTTAATAATTCATGTTATTTAAGGTGAATTAGGGAATAGTTTTCAGACAGAATGGCACAGTAGAACACATTCTTCCACCAAGGTCCAACTGTACCCTGAAATTCAGTCAAGCAGCATCAAATTACACACACTCACCCTAAACATGGCAGATGTTTTTCATCAAGCTCCCCTTGGAAAACGATGAAAATGTTGAAAATGCAATGTTATAGAAAAAGATTCATCCCCTTAACCAGATCATTACCAAAATTCAATGGGTCCTTCCTTGACCCATATAGCCTCCTTCCACCAAGTTTTGTAGAAATCTGCTGAGTTTTTTTTGAGTATGCCTACCAACAAAATAATCAGCTAATAAACAGAGAGCTTGTAAACTCTTTTTCAGAATAAACAGAACGCTTGTGCTCAGAATACATATTTAAATGGTATTGAATATTATATACTTTTTTGGCAGAGGCCTTTGTCCAAAACACCGAGTGGATTTAACCTCCAGTGGAACAAGTGGTGAATGTCATCAAACGCTGTTCTCTCTATGACCACTGGAGGGGAGTGAACGCTCATGACTCTCTGCAATATCATTGTCTTGCTAAACAATATACAGCTTTTGTGTTATTCTTACATCAATATCATTGTTGTTGTTGATGTACAACGTATAGCAACAGTATTCTACTTCTATATACAGTGATTATACAAAATATTTTTTATTTTTAATATATTTTAAAGTTCTCTCTGTTCACTCAAATTCAATCAGGCTATACAACAACAAACATCCTTACCACTGATTAGATGGAATTGAATCATCATTACCAGGGATTAGTTATGGTCTAATGCAGTGAACCTAAAATACTGAATTTAATTAACATCCACATTTCTCTTGAAATGAAACTGTCAGAAACTACATTCTTAGGATCACTTCAAAGTTTCAGTGGAAGGTCAGAGACATCTACTGGCCATGAAACAAACTACACGTGACATTAACCATACACATAAAACAGTTCTGATCAGGCCTAGGAAAAAAATATTTTAATTTGTTTACATGCAAACAAATATCAAGTGACCACAGTTCAGGGAAAACTTGAATGTTCGATGTTAACAAAAAGGTTGAATGACACATTGGGTTGACAGAATATGATACATGAATATTAAAGACAGCAGAAGCAGCAGATTTGCCCTTTTCAATAAAACAAATAATAAAAGCTGCACATATTTGACCTTGTGTTGCCTCCTGAATGAACAGGTCAGGAAATGTCTAAAGGGTTTTAATCTACCGCTCAGTACAAACACTCTAGCTTTAACTTCAGCACTGACTGTAACTGATGAGTCACATTGTTAAAGATGACATTTTACTATATATACCCATGTTTTAAATGTGTGGTCAAGATGGAAAAGTTGCACCTGAGCCTGCAGAAACTGCCTTTCATCTGAACATCTTTTATCTCATATTCATATTTCTAACGCCTGTACAGAAGGCCATATGTGGTAAGGAATGTCAATCATTACAACATCCAACAGTGAATCATTTACAGAATTTACTGTATATAGTGTAACAAATCTCCAGAGCAAGACAAACAGCACACTGTACATCATCAATAAATCTATTCACCTTTGATACTTTTTATAACACAATGATATTAAAGCAACATTTAAAATTGATGCGGGTTATGATTCAGTCTGTGTGTACATGTACATAAAATAATAGCCAGTGTACATGTGTTCTGGATCCAAATTCATCTATACAGTGAGAACAATTCATCTGTAACCATCAAATGCTGATTGTCAGTGATTCAAGTACCACATTTTTTTTTATCAGCTATAGTGGTTACAAGACTGTGGATAAACACAATTCAGCCTGATCAAATAGAAGTGACAAACAAAACACCTTAAATTCATAGATTTTTCTTTTGCTGATATGGCACATTGGATAAAAAGATCACCATTTTCACTCATTCATGATTAAAGTTGTATTTCACCAAAACATCAGATATGGATCCTATACCAATACCTACAGAGCTCACTGTATATAAATATCCATACATTCATTCTGCCTTTCCTCTTCTTCACATTCTCAAACTTCTACTACCTCAGTCCTTCATGACATCAAAGCTGATCCTCTTGTAAAACATGGTTCCCTTCAAAACACCTTTTCTCCCTTTTTCAAAACTCAGCTGCCAGGCTTTTAACAGGAGTGATCACACCACTCCTCTTTAAGCCTCTTTGCACAAGCTCCCTGTACGTTTTTGAATTGATCATAAGATTTTAGTGAAGTTAAAAAAAGGTGACAGAACCTTTGCAGTAATGGCCCCAAGGCGCTGGAATGATCTGTCAGAGGAAATATGGTCGGTTAACTCAGTCCATACTTTATCATTGACCTTTCCTGCTTCTACTTGAATTTTAAATTTCTTTAAACTGTCTTTTAAGTGTTGTAACTATTCTCTTTGTGTCTCATGATTATATGACTTGTTTTAATTGTTGCCTTGTGAAGCAATTTATAATCTAAATTTTGAAAGTGCTCTATAAATAAAGGTCATTGTTATTCCTCCCTCTTGAACATGAAAACAGTGTTTGGTCATTTAACTGTCTGTAGAACCACTTCCCTTATTCTTGTTGCGACTGAGAGGGAAGGTGGACTTGCTCTGTGGCTGGGTCATTTTGCTGGCCAGGTAGACGAAGGGCTCAATAAGCGTGTGTCTGTCCACCACCGAAACCTCCCACAGACGGACCTTCTCATTCTTTGCCCAGTTCTGAGCCATGTTGGAGTCAACTCTTCTTTCCTCCTGCTTGTCCAGCTTGTTACCCAGCACAACAATGGTCACCTGCAGATCAGGATAATCAGGTTAAGTATAATGTGTGGCACTGCCAACATCAATGCACGTCACTCCATCTGCTGTATTTCGAGTTGTAGCTATGGTAGGAAACATCTTTCTAGTTCATCATTTATAGATCTAATTCCACAGCATATCAACCAATGACAAACACAATGTGATGCCTTTAAATGCCAGAAATTCTCAAATTTGTTGAGTCACAAATTTATAAAATCTAATATTTAAGAAACTAAATTGTGTCCCTCTTGGACTACATGCTACTGTCACCCAAAATCAAAATCAAGATAACAGCAGTGACTGACAATCTGATTACTACTGTTGGATTAGAACAATTTGGTGACGCAAATTGACGCATCCAGCTTTTTTAAAGAATCAGTTCCCATATGAAGCTAATAGAGTATATAAATTTGTGCGGTCCTCACCTCTTTCTTGTCTCTATGACGGTCTATGTCCTTTTTGAGAGCCTCCATTCGCTTAAATGACTCTTTGCTGTCGATGCTGTACACAAGTATGAAGCCATCTGCAAAACTGTAGTAATGTCGAGGGAACTCCATTCCGTCCCGGAGTCCGCGGGTGTCATAGAAGCGCACCTGCTCTCGTGTACCACGGTCCGTCTCTACGGAGCCGATGTAGATATCCTCCAGAGTCTCCATGGGCTCTGAACCTGACAATGGATAATTACAAAGGAGTGTGTCATGTGGTGTGATGTACTGTCCAAGGCCCTTGCTGAAAAAAAACTGCATGATAAAAAAATTAAATTAACAAGTTGATTATTTATTGTAATTACCTTGGCTTGTATTTAGAAACACAGTTTGTATGTACAATTGCTTCTGCAAAGATTGCAATTATTGAACAGCTGTTAGGATATCCCATTCTACCAGGAAGAGTTCATGGCAATTACTGTACCGTATATTGAAATATGTAATGCTACTAATTACACATTAACTCCTGACAAACTGTAATCGCAACACATACAACACGGTTATGTCTGTTCAGCAGTCTGCATGCCATGTAGAAACTACTGATCTCTCAGCAGTGCAAAAGAGTGGACAACATATAATGCAGTGAAGTCAAAACAGTATACCTGCAACATGGTTGGCATACAGCAGTTGCTCCAAAACAGCCGTTTTACCCACTGCACCCTGGCCACAAACCACCACCTTGCAGCTTTTGCCCATAACTCTTTCTCAGGAAATCTGAAGGGATACAAAACTCACGTGAGAAGTGTTTGATTACAACTTTACAAAGCACTGTAACAACGTAGCTGCGATGCTATTGTTAAATCCGTTTGACACATTAAAGTATCATAGAAGCAATACGTAGCTTGCTAGCATACATATAAAGTCATTATGATAATTGAAGGCGAAACGACGTCTGCTAAAGTCGTGACAGTCTACAGTACATGACAATAACAAATAGCTTAGCATTAGCTTTTGGAGAGACGACCTAACACGCACGGTCCTAAACGTCGTGTAAACCTCTCTGACTCGACTACACTGTTTCCCACTGACTCGTATAATCAAATACAGACGTTGTTGTTTGAGAGCTATGAGAATATCCGCAGAGTTTTGGGGGTTTATTCTTATTTACGAGCTCAGCTAGCTGCTCTTACCCTCGCGGACGACTTCCTGTTTACAGTTTACGTAACCGACTGCAGTAATGTGGCCCCGCCCCCTCTCAGTCCACGGCAAAATGGCGACGGAGACCTGTGATGCTGTGAACATGGACCCTGACATGGACCTGCTCAGCGACGAGGAATTAGAAAGGTGCGACACGCGAGGACCGTGGTGTCAGCGGCCGGAGCGCGTCTACCACACGCGTGTGGTTGACACGCGCGGTGACACGGTCCCTGCCATGTCCGTTTTCATGTCGCTAACTGAAAGCTAACACGGCTAACTGTGGCCCTGGGTAACGTTCCCACTGGCCGGGAGCTGCTGCGCTGGATTGCTGGGCTGTAACATATGTGAACAAATCTGCGCTTGCGAGTCAAACGTAAAAGTGGATCTGTTTTGTTGTGCGCTGCTTTCACGTCACTGCTTTATTCGCAGAATTGTCAATGGCTGGCTCACGAGTTACTGACAGCGTTCACTCACTGTGTGGTCGTGATGTGAAGGGCTTCCAAAAAAAGTAACGGCCGGCATGGCAGGGTCGCTCAGCATGGTGTCATATGTTCCTGGCCCTGCCTCACTGAATAACTACGTGTTTGACTGGTGTGGACACTTGTGCCCTGCTGCTTTGGCTCTTTCTATGTTTAGCCAACTCGGGCCAGCAGCAGAGTCTCGGTCATTCACAATATCCTGTGCATGCTCCCATTGTCAGCTGATCAGGAATGTGACGTTCATGCTTGAGGGTTTTGCACTGTGAAGATTTAGGTGTGAAGCAAACACCCAAAGTAGTTCTGCTCTGTTTTCATTCTTAGTCTTAATTCCATTTAAGCCTTTTCTTGTCCTCTGTCCACTTTGACACAGGGACGCCGAGGTCTTCAAGGAGCAAGGCAATGCCTTCTATATCAAAAAGGATTATGCAGAAGCCTTCAATTATTACACCAAGGCAATAGGTAACTATCCCCTAAATAGTACAGATGAAGCTTCCTTTTGTTTGGATATAATGTTGGCCTTTTTTATTGGATAGGCAGCAATAGTTAGAGTTCTGTCTGATGCTGGGTGTGAAATAACTTGTGCTGGAATTATACTTTCTCTTTCTTTCATCTTTTTTAACCTCTTTACTTCTTTTATTATTTTATTATTATTATTCTTATTCTTTTAAATTGATTTATTTTCATTTTGTCTCTCTGTTGTTTTTAATGTCCCTGTACAGCACAGTGAATCTACCTCTGTGTATGAAATGTGTTTTATATATAAAACTGCCTTGTCTTGTGTTTTATCCAGACATGTGTCCAAAGAATGCGAGTTACTACGGAAACCGGGCTGCCACATTAATGATGTTGTGCCGGTATAGAGAGGCTTTAGAGGACTCCCAGCAAGCAGTGCGACTAGATAACGCCTTCATGAAGGTAGGTTGTGGAGAAGAAGATGTTAATTCAAAATTGGAAATCTTGTCTTACATATATTCAGCTAGCGATAGCTTTAAAACAGAATCTACATGGGAATTTATAACTTGAACCTTGGACATTGTTTTTACACAAATTTGAATGTAGTTGTTTACAACATTGCAGAGCTACAGTATCCACTTGTTTTAAATTATATAATCTTGTTTGCCGACTCAGGCGAAAGATTGGCTACCTTTCTGTAGACAGAATCATCTTTCCCATGTCTTGTAGAAAAGGGTTGTTGAGGCAGTTTAATGTCAGTCGTAGACTACTGTAATGTAATATGTAGGCATGCATCAGACTCCATTTATCACTCCGCCTTGAGATTGATCACCGGTGATGCTAATGGAACTCATCATTGCACTCTATACAGTAACGTCAGGTGGGCTTGTCAGCAAGAAAGATTCTCACTGATAATTCTTTATTTATAAAGCTCTGACTGGAAAACTACCAGACTATCTATCAGTATTACTGCAAAAATCAGATAAACCTTTCAACTTCCAGTTGTAATTGTTTTAGAAAACTGTGATTTCATTTTGCATTTTGGGCTTACATATTTAAACTGTAATGTCTCACATAAATGTATTTTCTTTGGCATTTTACAGTTGCAGAGGACTTAACATTTTGATCATCTTGATTCCTCTAATTGTGCTAATCCAACATTTTTTCATTTAGGTTAATGGTGAATTTGTTTATTTTTATGAATGCCCCTTCGTTCATCTTGCTTTTTTCTACTCTCTTTCTGTGACTGTAATTTAACATGGTTTCAGTGCAAATTAGGTCAACCGCCTATAATAATATTATGTGGCTCTTCAGTACATAAGCTATACCACATCCCTTTAAAAACTGTCAATCAAATTTAATTTGTATCCGTGTGTAGTAGATAGGCTGTGTAACATTTGTGAAGTAAGTTAAAGATAGCAATGGTTTAGTTTCAATCACACATTGTCCAGCTGGTTTTAACAAGGGGGGGAATTGAGACAGGCTATTTAGTTTGTGAACTCTAAGTCCTTTGCCCACAGGGCCATCTGCGAGAGGGCAAGTGCCACCTGTCTCTTGGCAATGCTATGGCTGCCAGCCGCTGTTTCCAGAGGGTTCTGGAGCTGGAGCCAGATAACAGCCAAGCCCAGCAGGAAGTGAGTTGGCCTCTGTGTCAGAGAGCATGATTTGACAAATTGCATATCCCTTATCATATCAGCTTTCATCAAGCCAGTGTAGATACAGTGAAAAACTGAGCAGTTTAGGAGGAGGTCAGCCAGAAATACCATCAATGAAAGTTGGAGGTTATTCATGCAACTACTGGTTACACTGACCCAAAGTTTATGTAGTAATTAGTAATAGCTGCAGAGCATTGAAGTCACCTGACTACTAGAGGTATTTTTCATTGTCACTGAATACCACAAATTCCTTTGGCAGGTGAAGATTGCAGATTCCATCCTTGAATATGAGAGAATGGCAGAGATTGGATTTGACAAGCGGGACTTCAGGATGGTAAGCTGCTCAGTGGTTACAGAGTCACTTCATTTTCTCATTTGAATGTCACTAGAAACCTTTCCGTCACACAGACTGCAAATATGCCTTGATTGTTTTTAGGTTGTCTTTTGCATGGACCGTGCCTTGGAGTCTGCCTCAGCCTGTCACAGGTTCAAGATACTGAAAGCAGAGTGCTTAGCCCTGCTGGGACGCTACCCAGAAGCTCAGTCTGTAGCCAGGTAAGAGTTCCTTCATGACACTTGGTAATTCACTTATTTTTGCATTATTATTGGATTAACTGGGTGAAGTAAAATAAGACTGACCATGTCATACCTAATGCCTTAATTTGCTTTGAAAAGATTCTCTTAAGCTGAACTCCGGAAAATATCGGAAAAATTGTGTGTGAACATTTTCCGGAGTTTGCCTTTCACATATGAAGAATGCAGCAGGAGATTGTCCGGGTCAGACGTGTTCACACCAACAGGAACATTTCCAGAACATTGAGGAGAGGGGTAGCGCCTGGGTAGAGCATGCAGGAGGCAGGACATGACATATAAATTCCACTGTGGTTAGTGTTTTTGTTTACAGCATTTCGACACAGGTGTTGGTCCCAATCACTTAAAGCTCTCTAATCTTGTCTTTCAAAATTACATCTTGAGTCTTCTATGTCTATTACGCCTCTTTTTTATCCTGAGGAATTTCTATTCTTCAATTTTTGCGTCTGTCTTGTGTTAGAAAGATCATCAATGCACCAACGCCCTCTCTGGGAACTTTCTGTACATGTTCCTGCTGTATTCTTACATAGGCTCATCCTGACATTTTCCAGACTTTTTACTAGGGGCCTGACAGGGAATGTTCCAGGAACTTTGTCAGAAATTAACTCAGAAAATAGCATTCTCACATACAGGCCCTTTGGAAAATGTCAGAAAAACAAATCTGTACTGCAGTGCATGTGTGATTGCAGCCTTCGGTTCTCTGGGGATCACCTCCAGAAACTGTAGGGAAGCCATTCTCACAGAATTAAGCTATGGCTGCCCTCGTCAATTAAAGGCATGTCTGTTACCACGTTCATATTTCAGTTTCTACACCGCTGCATTCTTGAACACGGTCTCATCACTGATAGTATGATTACATTCCACAGTTAATCATATTTGATTAGATTATAACAAGATGTCTCTTTTAAATTTGTTTGTTTTCTTTTAACATTAATATTGATTATTTGTTTACGTTCAGTGATATTCTGCGAATGGACTCCACTAATGCGGATGCTCTGTACGTGCGTGGTCTTTGTCTCTACTATGAAGACTGCATTGACAAAGCCGTCCAGTTCTTTGTACAGGCTCTGCGCATGGCTCCTGACCACGATAAGGCCCGGCTCGCATGCAGAGTGAGTAATTCAGTAGATAAGTTTTATGAAACAGTTAAACCGCTTATTATAAATGTAGCAAAAAAAAATTTGCTTTTGTCAGAAGAAATAGCTTAAGAAGATATGACAGTGTGGTTTCCTTTGATCCATTTTAAGTCTGATTGACTTCTACTTTCTTATGTGTCTTTCACCTAGAATGCCAAAGCACTAAAAGCCAAGAAGGAGGAAGGGAACAAGGCGTTCAAGGAGGGGAACTTTGAAGCGGCCTATGAGCTGTACTCTGCGGCACTAACGATAGACCCCAACAACATCAAGACTAATGCCAAACTGTTCTGTAATAGGGCCACTGTTGGATCTAAGGTGAGGAACATGCACAGGAGAGGAGATGCCACTGGTTGGATCAGTATGAACACGTGAACAGCCCTAAACAAACAAAACAAGTAGCCAATAAGGACAGAGTGAGATGTGTCTATTGGATAAATGAGATAACCACAAGCAAACAAAACCCAGGACTGTCACTCCTGAATATGCTAGACCTCCATAAATAAATGCTAGGCTTGTTACAGACTTGCAGTGATGTAATTTCATGCAATAGAACAACACACACAAGTCCTCTTTCAGTTAGTCAAACATTAAAGGTTAGCAGAGACACAGACTTAAATAAAAGTATAGACATTAAAATAAAGTTTTTTGGGTATCTCTGCTATGTTGTACTTTCTAATTTCAAATCAAGAGAACCGAATCACTGATTTTGTATCTTAAACGCTGCTTTGCGTGTGTTTTCTTTCTTTTTTCTTTGAAAGCTGAAGAAACTAGATCAGGCCATTGAAGACTGCACAAAGGCCATTAAACTGGATGAGACCTACATCAAGGCCTATTTACGGAGAGCACAGTGGTATGTCGAAGATACGTAACTCTGTAGTTAATAGAGATCACAAGTTATATTTGATTATCGATTCAATTACTGACTCTCCTGCAGCTACATGGACACAGAGCTGTATGAAGAGGCAGTGCGAGACTATGAGAAAGTTTACCAGACAGAGAAGACAAAAGGTGAGAATCAGACTCATACATTCAGCACAGATACTGTATTTTCTCTTTATTTTTTAATTCATGGTACTTAAACATTATTCACTGGCTTTGTTTGCTTCCTTCTGCCATTTAAATAATATTGCTCCTACTTGTGTTTATTGACCTGTTCTTTCTTTCTTTTTCTTTATTCCACAGAACATAAGCACCTCCTGAAAAATGCGCAGCTGGAGTTGAAGAAAAGCAAGCGAAAAGATTACTACAAAGTGCTTGGGGTGGATAAGAACGCCACAGAAGAAGAGATCAAGAAAGCTTACCGCAAACGGGCCCTTTTACATCATCCAGGTTCTTTATCACAGAAAAAAAACTAATTTCATACAGAAAGAAACCATCTTATTTGTCGTTCACAGACATGTTTTCTTTTCCTTTGATTAGACCGTCACAGTGGAGCAAGTCCTGAGGTGCAGAAAGAAGAGGAAAAGAAGTTCAAGGAGGTGGGCGAGGCTTTCAGCGTGCTTTCAGACCCAAAGAAGAAATCTCGCTATGACAGCGGTCAGGATCTGGAGGACGACGGCATGAACATGGGAGGTCAGAACCCGGGCAAGCCTTGGGGTGGGAGGTCTCGAGGGTGAACAGATTTAAATACAAATTGTGTTTGAGCCAACTCCACCTTCTTATTGTAAAGCAACTGTTTGTTTTAAAGTTAGAAAATTAAACGTGGAAAAGTTCTGTGTCGATGATGATTCTTACGTGTATTTTTTCTCTCTCTCAGATTTTGATGCCAACAACATTTTCAAGGCTTTCTTTGGAGGCCCAGGGGGTTTTAGTTTTGAAGGTATTTATCTTCCTATTTGTTTAGAAAACCCTGTGAGAAGCAATGTTTTCTGTCAAATGTTAAAAATACAGTACATTTATTTCAGTTATTGAAATATGTTTCTTTTTTCAGCATCTGGACCAGGAAATTTCTTCTTCCAGTTTGGTTAATTGGAGAATATGTCCACCCGAACAAAGACTACCACAGGATTTTTCAACAATGTCAACCCCCAGACCTACCCTCCATATTTAATGACTGACTGATTGCAAGGGAGATTCTTTTCTATGCCATTGACTGAATGAATGCAACCCAATGACCACATGCAGCAAATGTTTAAATGCCTGTATATCAAGGACGCCATGATGGCTTAGACTGAGTGGATAGTGTTACTGGTTTTGGATTTGGTTTTCTTCCTTGTAGAATGAAACAAACTTGAAAGTCAGTAATGGCTAACAACACCGCTACAAATGATGTAACGGTGTTTTAGATTGTGCAGCTATTCTATCTGTGCTTTAATGGTTCTATACAGGAAGTGACATCCTGGGGAAACTCCTGAGATGCAACAGAGCATTGAACAAGCTATCATACAGCTCATGTGAACTTATTGCTGAGGGGCTTTCCTCTGCATGAAATTTAATTGCTGGGCAAGCAGCACCTCCCCCCTTTTGAAGAATGTCAGTCAGACAGTCGGCTGCTACAAGTCCTCACTGAAAACTGTCAAGCCAATAGCATCACTTGAGCTTTTTTTTTTTTAAAACACACAACAGCTGGACCCTAGACCCACACACACAGAGTACAGCCGAAGCACACTTAAGAAAGATGGCAGTGGAGACCACTGCGCCGGCTTTATTGCCAACTAAGTCCCTCCCTCTTGTTCTCACAGGTTTTGTGTTTGATGTTGCCATTCACAGATTGCTGCATTGTACATTTTACTGGAATGTAAAGTGTTGATTTGTGATATTTGATTATCTTTTTCCTTTTTTAATTTTGTTATGTATATTTATTGTAAATTTCCTGTCTGATTGAATCATTGGTGAAAGATGAGGAAAGTTGGCACCTATCGCGAGCATCCCTTTGACACAAATTCAGGAAGATGGTCTGCATGAAATGCACAGAAAAACATGCTCTTTATGTTCCCTGACAGTTCTCCAAACTGAAAAGGCATTTTTATAATACCATATGTTAATATTACTCAATGCAGCACATAAGCATAGGAATAGAATAATGGCGCGATATGCAGAAAGTCGGGCACGGTATGATGGTGAAACCTAGTGATGTTCAGTTGCTTCCTGATGAGTGTGTTGTTCTTTTGGTGCACTTACTGGAGAAAAGAAAAGCCTCATCTTTGCTGTTATTGTTTTTGCCCATAAGGTGAAACCATCCTCTCTTTACGCTTGAAAAGTTACAGCCATGTCAATAAAGTTGGCCTCCTCTGGATTTACCCAAAACAACATTTTGTGTCCTTTTGTTTTGGTAGAGTAATGTCTGTATATATTATTACCTCCGCCAAGGAGGTTATGTTTTCATCGGTGTTTGTCTGTGTTTTAATTAGCAGGATTACACAAAACTACTGGACCGATTACCTAGAAATGTGATGGAAGGATGCTGTGTGCGTCTGGTCAAGAACCCGTAAAATTTCAATGCTGATCCAGGATTTACCTTTCACTTTTTTCTTCCACATTTTTATTGATTTCACAGAATAATTCACGGATCTTCATGCAAAAAATCAGGCATGTTTAAGGGACTGACATTTGTAAGTGTGAAAATAGATTTCAAGAATTTACGAGTGGTGTTACAAGGGTGCTGCATTAAATGGGCAACAGATGGCGATGTTTGCCCTGCTTCTGGTTTGTTGGTTGTTGCTAGGATACCAGAGACATTGAAGTGTTTACATACCTTCTAAAGTTAAGCTGTCTTAGTGTTGCGCTGTTTGAAGTGAATGAAAATGTCTGACACGAATGGAGACAGCAAAGGCCAAAAGTCCAGGGATGTGTTTAGTGATTTAATGGACTTGGGGAATGTTCTGTACCACAGAGGAGACTGGGAAAAGGCTGCAGAGAGCTTCACAACGGTGAGTAACTACCAACCATAAGGAAACCATAATCTTCTGCGCTGTGTCATCCACAAACCTTGATCTAACTATCAAATACTCTTTGGATCTGGTTATACAGCAACTCTCAAATAGTAACCAGCTCTACAAAAAATATCGGTGTCAGCCTCATTACTCAATACTAAATATATATATATATATATGACCAATACTATACATTTTCTCCCTATTGTAATGCAAGAGTCTACCTTTTCATCTCATTGATCTTGTTAATGAATCCAACCATTATAAGTGGGTTCGTTTGTATGGAATCCTATTTACACCGTTTAATAACTGAAAAAAATGACTGACATACATATGTGTTTTATCTCAGAATCTTGATTCATCATTCTTTTTAGGTATCTGTAATTTTTCCTATTTTGTCTGGTCCATCACCCAGATACAGTGATTTGCATTTCAAGTCGATCTGCTTTTCAAGAATACACTGCAAGTAAATTTCAGTACATCTTTGAAATGTGTATTACACTTTGTTTTTGGTCTTTGTTCAGGCACTGACTCTGAAACCTGGTGAGAAGAACTGCCTTGTTTGTCGGTCCAGATGTTACCTGCACATGGGGCAATTTGAAAACGCTTTAAGAGATGCAGAAGCTTCACTCCAAGACGACAAGACTTGTTGTGAGGTAAACAGCAGGACTAGACAAAGAAAACAAAATGAATGAGAGAAGCCTTGGTATTTATTTTATCATACTTTTTAGGGACTGTACCAGAAGGCAGAGGCTTTGTACCACATGGGAGAACTTGAATATGCGCTGGTGTTTTACGACAGAGGACAAAAGCTGCGTCCACAGATGCAGGAGTTCAGACTGGGTATCCAAAAAGCACAGGACGGCATCGTAAACTGTATAAACAGTAAGTAATTCAAAGGCCCAGTCTGTAAGATTTAGTTGAATTGGCAGAATATGAATTAATCCTACTGATGTTTTCACCACGGAGGCGGCCATATTTTTTTACAATAGTCCAAACTGGACAAACCTATTTAGTTTTTATGACAACTGAAGGCTACCACAGGTTATCTTTCATGTTTGGAAGGGGAGGGTGAGGTGAGGGGTATTCAGCTGCAACATGTAACTTCACCACTAGATATCACTAATTTCTACACACTGAACCTTTAACTAAGTTAAATTGTAATGGCAGCATATGAATGTCCTCCTCACAACTTATGCTTAAAATCTAAATCATTCCGTCTTCTCTGCTGTCTCACAGACCACACCTCCGTAAAACCAAAAATTAATGAAGGGGCATCATTTCTTCAAAAAGATGAGGTGAGTCTTACAGTCACTTTCGCCTTCAGTAACCCGGTGTTTAAGAAGCATGCACGCATACAGCCACCAATTAATTTTACTGTGTCGCAACCAGGATTGATTCTCCAATCTCTGGGCTAGCAGAGACTTTACAGTTTTCTAATGTTCAACACATCCTCCTTCTGAAGCACAATATTATGTTTCTGAATGACTAACCTGTACAGAAGGCACAGCCAAGTATTTCTATTCAGCATCTGACCGAAGAGAACAAAGACCAGACCCAGAAGACTCCCAAAAGTGAGAAGTTTACCAGGCAGGTGTTTGGAGAGTTTTACAGTGACAAGAAATATCTTGAAAACCTGCTGAAAGTTGAAGGTACTGTGTGATTCATATTTGCCTAATAATAGGATTTTTTTTTGTCTCTATGTCTTATATTTGAAACTATCAGATAAAATAAACACTACATTTGCTGTCACTTTCAAATCAGGCTTGGTAAATGGAAAGACAAAGGGTGGGGAAAACCTGCAGGACGTCATTCAGACCTCCCTGAAATATCTTGACACTTGCACCGACCTCTTTAACCAGAAGAAACCTGGGAAACGGGAAAAGCAGAGTAAGCGCACGGGGAAAAAATGTTGCAAGCAGCCTTCTCAAGCTCCCCGTGAACCTGCTCGTTTTCTGCTGAAGAGCCTGGATGTCATTGATGCAGGTAAATCAGGCTTCTGGCTAGACTTTTTCCTTCGCATAAAAATGTTAAATGTATGTTTGTTGTCTCAGAGTTGACCTCGGGAAATGCGGAGGGTAGTCTCAAGAAGGCAAAAGAAGTCATGGAGGAGGTGCAGAGATGGTCTGAGAAAGAGGTACCCGACAAGAAAGATGTTTTGGGCAGCCTGCACAGTTACATTGGGAACGCCTTGATCGAGCTTGGAGATATGGACAACGCCTTAGAACATCACCAAAAAGACTTGGAGTTGGCTAAACAGTGGTGAGAATCAGAAGAAACAGCACAAGTGTATAGATATAGACAGTATAGAACAAAAAATGCTCAACAATTTTTTCTCTTCCACAGCAATCACCCAGAGGCAATGTCCCGGGCACTGGACAACATTGGCAGAGTCTATGCCCAAATTGGAGACTTCACACAGGCCATTGAGTTGTATGAAAATTATAAAAACAAACAAATGCAAAACACATGTAAAAATATATACGCAACATATAGTCACACCTTTCTTTCACAAGCAATGCTTTGCATCGAACAATGGTGACAATAGATGATTTGTTTATCTGTGACATTTTTTTTTAACCTAATTTTCTTATCTGTGTGTTTATAATTTAGCTGGGAAAAGAAGATCCCCCTGCTATGCGGTGGTGTAGAGAAGACCTGGTTATTTCACGAGATTGGTCGGTGTTACCTGGAGCTCGGTCTCTACAAAGAAGCCAGAGACTACGGCATCCGTTCTCTCACTGCAGCTGATGAAATTGCTGATGACCAATGGCATATAAATGCCAATGTGTTGTTGGCGCAATCAGAAAGTAATTCTTAGTCTGAATTTGAATACTTCATGTGATAAACAGTGATATTATTTGCTTTTTGAAGCTGTTGTCACTGAACAACTTATTGTTCTGATCTCTAATAGTACTTTCTCCACTTTTTTAACATCAGTGAAACTTGGAAATATTGAATCCTGCGTCGCCAGCTTTGAGAGAGCTTTGACCCATGCCAAACTGCAAGAAGACGACTTCCTCACAAATGCAATTCAGAAGGTTCCCACTCTGTTGTTGTCTGCTTCCCTTTCCCAATCAGCTGAGCATTTAAAGTATATTTTTGTTGGCTGATATTTGTCATTCAACCTTCCAGGCTCTTGATGAAGCAAAACAACAACCACGATGAAGATGTATCCAGTTACGACTGAGGGGACAAAAAAAGTCAGAAGAGGACAAGTGTTTTCATGTGCACATACATCAGTTTGCAAGTTGTAATTAACTGGCAACAGCATTTGGCAATTGCTTCAGTTATCTATGTCTGTAATTATGTTCCACAGAGCAGTAACAGCAGGGGACGTCTTTTATGTTGGCAAAACATGACCGATGCCATCACTAAAACTCAAACAAAAAACAATACAGTGCACTCACACACACTTTTTGTTCCTTAGTTGATATTGTGGGTTTTATTATACTTTAGCTTTCTTTCAATAAAAACCTTCAAACTTAGATGTATGTTTACTTAATTTACAAAATAATGAGTATTGCCAACCTCTGGTGCATAGAACTCCAAAATACTTCAACCTTCACAAGCTATCTGTGCACTGTAGTCACAGCAGCAATGCAGTCCACTGGCTGGGATGTAGCGAGGGGGGAGAAGCTGAGCTCCAGCTGCTGCCATGCAGGATGCTTATCATCACCATCAACCCACCTTGACGGGGTTTGTTGGCTTCCAACGGTTGCCTAGTTGCTGCTCCGCAGATAAATACAGGAGAAAGGCTTCACTGGAATGTAAAACTTGAGGGGGAGAGCTAGGATCTGTAAATCCACTTTCCTCTACACAGCCTTTTGAAATTTGTCGCTGGCTCCAATGTGTATGTCCTAGTTAAACAAGAGATGGTATGGTATTGGGTATATGTAATAACCAGTCATTAGTTTCAAATGTAAACCATTTTAATATAATATTTGTTCACTGGTTTGACTGAGAGCTACGAGCTTGTTATGTTTGTAAAAGTTTGGTGGACTGTACTTTTATTTAACTTAAACCTTGTATAGTGCTGTCTTGAACTAATTGTTTGCTAATCTCTATCCCCTATTATATAAACTTGTTGTTAGACTTATTAGGGTTATGGTGTACTAAATAAAAAGCAATATTTTAATCAAAAGACAACTGAGGAGACAGCCCAACAAAGGACAGCCTGTTCACAGGCAGGAGTAACTCCACCAAGTTGAGATGGGAAATAGTATTAATTTGAGGGCTTGTATAATGCCTGTATATTGTGAACGGTTGTAGAGACAGTCATTATTCCTAATAATTATCTTTTTGAGGTGAAAGTGCAGAACTTGTCATATGTTTTTGTTTTGCTCTTGGACATGGACCTTCCTCCACCTCTTCTTCCAGGATGTCAACTGCAACGATGCATATTACTGTGACTGTTTAATATTCATGGGATATCTTGTTATTTTGAAAACTGTCCTGGCTAATAACTTATAAAGAGGTACAGGTACTTATACCATTAATGTATAGTGATGTTTGTGTATCTAACTCTACAAGGCCCGTCAGACATGCAGTCGTCTTGATGTTTGAAAGCTAAGAAGGCAGGTATGTATAATGTAGCTGATGTGCTAATATATGTGAAAATTATTAAACTATCAATTCTCCCCTGTAATAGGGAGACCTAAAGTAAAAATAACGTTAAAGATAAGGTTAAAAACAGGTTTAAATGTAACCTGTTTTTATGTTTATCAATTTTTATTAACCATTATTGAGTAGTGTTTTTCAATTCCATTTGTATGAGGATGGAGTAAATATTGTACCCACCTTCAAGAACCCAGTACATTTAAACAGCATTAGGGACTGCAGCTGACAAATAATAAATCAAATTGTTTTAAATATCAAGTATAGATTTAATACAATGTGGAACTACATTCATTTGTTATGTAGGTGTATGCTTTGGTTCCATGTTTTACATCGTTGTCCTTATGAAAAAAATGTTTTCTGCAGAATAAGTTCATATATATCCTTTGTGATCTCCATAATCACATATGCTCCAAGCAGTTTAAGGGCTGTTGCAGTCGCAGTTTCTCCAGTTTCTTTTAAGCGCTCCAGTGAGGTACATTGACTGATGGATAGTTTTTCTTGTCAACTTCCGGCAACCTGATGAACTGTTGTTTGCTTCTTCCCTGCACAGTTCCCGGTTCCCTTTGCACTGAGCACTGTTTGGAATCGCATTTATGATGGCTGAATACCCTGTGCAGTCATCAGGCAGGATTTTATTTCCAGGCCGTCATCACCAAGAAGTGATCTTCACAACCTAAAACAGCCTGATCTACTTCTTATTCTTCTTTGTTTGTTTTATTGGTGTGTGGCAGCCAACATCAAAGTGCATTACCGCCATTTACTCGATCTGTTTCTTCCTATACAGTCTATGATCATCTATCAGAATACAAAGATCAAAGACACACACCCTTATGATGTAAGAACATTCCAAAGAATAAAATAATAAAAGGAATTAAACTGACCTTGATCATTGCAGTACCTCCAGGAACAGTGCAACAACAAATATCGGCTATCAGCACTACAATAACAATCGCTAATATGTCTTCTGATGAAGACTGTGAAGGCCAAAGGTTCTGTAATTTATTGACCACAGGGACTCAGCTATACCTTAAAGGAGAGGATGAAAAGGCTGTGGAGAACTTCACAGCAGTAAGTAACTGCTAACCTATCCTCAGTCATGACAATAAATGTTGAATTTGTATTGAATAAATTTGTTTTAGACAAAAAGAAATACCAGTACAGTAGTGCAGCAAAAACAATTACCAAGTACTGTGTCATCAACCTCCATCTTAACTGACAAATACACTGTGGATCAGATTGTATTTATACAGCAATGATCAATTTGTAACCACCTTTACATTTCTACATTCTTTCACTGGTGGGAACGGGCCTCCATACAAGTGAAAAAAAAAATTTTTCACAAGGTATCTGTCATGTCCTGTCATTCTTCGTGGTTGATCACCCAGATAAAGTGACTTGCATTTCAAACCGATCTGCTATCCATGAATATGAACATTTCAGTACAACTTGAATGTGTATAACACTTTGCTTTTGGTCTTTGTTCAGGCGCTGGCTCTCAATCCGGATGAGAAGAATCGCCTTGTTTGTCGGTCGAGATGTTACATGCGCATGGGGCAATTTGAAAAAGCTCTAAGAGATGCAGAAGCTTCACTCAAAGATGATAAGACTTTTTGTGAGGTAAACAGCAGGACTAGAAAAAAAACCTTCATGTATGAAAGAGGTCTTCGTATTTATTTTGTCATTATTTTATAGGGACTGTACCAGAAGGCAGAGGCTTTGTTCTACATGGGAGAACTTGAATATGCACTGATGTATTACCACCGAGGACACAAGCTGCGTCCACAGATGAAGGATTTCAAACTGGGTATCCTAAAGGCACAGAAAGACATAATAAACTGTATTAACAGTAAGTAATTTAACACAGTTTTGTAGTTATGTAGTAATGGCAGCATATGGATATCCTCTTCACAACTCATGCTTGAAATCTAAATAATTGGGTCATGCTGTCTCACAGACCACATATCAGAAAGAAGGAAATGAATGTGTATGTATCATTTCTCCAAAAAGATGCAGAAATGAGTCTTATAGATATTTTCTGGGCTAGCACAGACTTAACAGTTTTTCTATATGTAATATTCAACCCAACCTCGCTTCTGAAGCACAATATTATGTTTCTGAGTGACTAACCTGTATGGAAGGCACAGCCAAGTACTTCTATTCAGCATCTGACTGAGGAGAATAAAGAACAATGTGGACAATGCCTTAGAACCTTACCAAGGTGTTTATAATTCAGCTGGGAAAACAAGATCCCTCTCCTCCACGGCGGTGTAGAGAAGACCTGGTTATTTCACGAGATTGGTCCGTGTTACCTGGAGTTCGGTCTCCACAAAGAAGCCAGAGACTACGCCGTCCATTCTCAATCAACTTACCAGGCTCTTTATGAAGCACAACAACAACTATCACAATGAGGATGTATCCAGTTACGTCTGAGTGGACCAAAAAAGTCAGAAGAGGATAAATGTTTTCATCCTCTTCTGACACCAGCACTCTCGCCTGAGGACCTCTCACCTTTGGAGCCATGGGTCCTACTACTGCGCATGTTGGACCATGAGGGAGGCAGGGGTGCCCCAGGGGGACCCCCACACCCTTGGAAGTCCATGCGAACGTCCATGTGGAGATTCCCGGGCTGGATTCAAGACCTTGACCCCCCTCCCCCCCCCCTTTATTTCCTTTTGTTCTTTCTCTATCACCCCAACCGGTCCTGGCAGAGGCCATCCACACCAAGCCCGGTTCTGCTGGAGGTTTTTTCCACCTGGGGGTTTTTCCTCCCCGCTGTTGCTCATGCTTGCTCGGTGTGGAACAAGTTGGATTTGGTGTTTCTTAAGATCTTGGACTTTTCTGCAAAACCCTGAGACAACTGTTTGTTGTGGAACCGTGCTATATAAATCAATTTGATTGATTGAATTTGATGTTTTCACGTACACATACATCAGTTTGCACTCTTAATTATTGTCTGTTAATATGTGCACTCTCTGGATTCCTTCTAAGTCTATCTATCTTTCTATCTTTCTATCTATAAAATATAAAGATATATAAAATAATTTATGAAAAAAATCCTTTTTTTAAATTTAAGTTGAAGCATGTAGTAGTGGCCACCAGCGGATGTTAGGGATATACCTTCAGTTGTGCGCCTTACCGTCATGAAGTCATCAGCCTTCTAATCAACGATACAGGCCAAACTTGAGGGTATGCTGAGGCTAAAGGTAAATCTGACTTGCTACTGGTTTGTAAGACACTGCCATATGGCTGCAAAATCTGGCGTCGTGAAGCAGAATTGCAGATCTTCAAAGTAGACTCTAATCAAATTTGCTCTGGTACTTTGAAGAAGTCAAAAGCAGCCCAGAGGACACTATATGGTGCTGAACCAAATGCATTTGTGAGGTCAAGGAAGATGACATGTAGATCTTTCTTTTCACTTTTCAGAGATCATGCTAAACATCATATGTTCTAAACATGCAGAGAACCCTGGGATTCCAGCTTTTTAGACCAATGTATCCACCAGCTGGTTTTTTTTACCAGATAACTTGTCAGCCTTTGGGCTATGACACTAAAGAAGATCTTGCTTAATACATTGAGGAGACTGATGGGCACAATTGGCTGATGTTTGAGCAGTCCTCCTCTTTTGGTATCATTCTCCTCCAGCTCTGCCCCAGGCTTTGGATATTGTTTGCTTCACCCATGCCGCTCTGATTAATTTCCACAAGAAAGCGTAGAACATCAGGAGTATTCTTGCATACCCTGTACGGGACAACGTTTGTGCCTGGGGCTGATGACGCTCTTGCCTGCCACCCTGTGTTCTTCACTTCTTTCCATTTCAGAGGGCTCACATCCATTTGGTGTTCTGGCTGCTCAAATGGGATATCAGATGGAATAGCTAACGGATCATGCCTTTTTTGGATCAGATTCCAGGGGCTCCCCTATGTCCTGTTTTAAGGTCTTCAGGGTTCCTCCCTTCTTTGTGGTGATGAGACATTTCATGAACTTGAAGGGGTTTTTAAAGAAACAAGTTATTGCTCATTCTTTTATTTTTCAAGCTGTTCTTTGGTGCTTTACTCTCCTTAAGGTTGTCAGTCAGCTCTTGACGCTTCCTGCAGCATGTTAATTCCCCCTCTCTGCTCTACTGAGGCGCTTTTCCACTGCTTTTTAAGCTGACTCATCTCCTGTATCAAGCGTTCCAGTTGCCTTCTGGACTTGGTTTCCATTGTTGATGTTATCCGTTCTTTCTGTGTCACTCCAAAATGTAATGCTCCGTAGTCATAGATGATGTTACTCAACCTTTCAAGCTTCCTCTCAACTGCGTCCTTTTACTTTACAAGGATAGTGCTTAGGTTTGCATTTTTTTTCATGCAATAGTGAAAAATTGCATGTTAAAAACATGGTGGCCTTCATAGAGAGGTCCCCCTCGATGTAGATATTAAGTGATTATGTTTCAGTTGTCAGAGGTTACAATGACCTTTATATGAATCTGGAAAAGACGTATGTAGAAATATGCAGTTTGCACATGGAGGCATAAAACCGCAGTGCCGTCATTCTAGTTTGACTTATTTCAATGTCCATATCATGTCCTATTTCAAATATCAGTACAAATAAAGTTTAAAAATGTTAAATAAAAATACATTTTAAACTTGGAGAAATGTTGCAGCGGTATAAAAAAAAAGGTTTAAGGTGGTTTTGATTCAAAAAAGAAATATATACAGAATCAATGAAAAAAAATCTATAGGCTACAAACATAACACAGAAAATGATCAAATATATACAGCACATTATGTAAAATGATAAAATTGTATTGTATGGTAGGATAGATAGATTCACTGTAGATGTGAGAAGAGTAAAAAAAAAGATTTTTATATCGCTTTAATAAAAAAAAAAGAATATCTCTCCAGTGCTCTTCTTCCGCTACTCAGGGGTGTGTCCGTGACCACGCCCAGTTGCGCGTTCCCGGGATTTTTTTGTGCCTCGTCCTCTTGAAGAGCGGAGCGCGTGCGTGCGCGCCCAGGACTTGCCTTGTCATTGTACCCGGAGAGAGACGCGTGGTCAGCGGCGCCACAGACACCCACAGCCCCTCTGCAGCAGCGCCCTGGTAAGATGGCACCTCCGCCAACAAAAGCCCGTCACTCTCACCGCCTCGACTCCTCCATTGTTCTTTCGTTTCATTCCTACTGCGAACCGTCTGAGTAAGTCGCTCCAGTTTTATGCGAAGTGACTCGTTTCTCGCACATTAACGTGGTGAGGGCATGGCGGCTGCTCACGTTTAATCCACATTGTCATCGCGCAGGCTTGTTTTTGTGAGGCGCGTCGCTGCCCGCCTCGCCACATTGTGCTGTTTGTAAAATGTTGCGTTCAGATTCAAAACATCTCAGCGTCACGCTCGACTCTTTATCTAGTTAACGTGCGGAACGATGAGTTAAAACTTCAACAGAAACAACAGGAAACAGGAAGAAGTTTGATCGAACGTGTTGATGTCGCCTTTAACTCTGCAGGTTGGTTTTTCGGTCACGTTACCTTTAAGTGTGTCACCACATTGGGTTGGGTTGTGAGCGCTTCCCCTTTTTTTGTCAGGGCAGGATGAGATTTAACACATCTGGTGCCATCCACCGTTTGTTCACAAACAGAAATGATATTTCGTCAAATGAGATCCTGCCACACGGAGGAGGTCGCTGTAGTCTGATTTAATTCCACTTTTCTGCGGTGCCCCATTTTTCCTTACTACCCTTTGTCTGTGTTTGCAGGGATGATGTGGCTCTGTTCATGTTTCCCTAAGATCTTTTCACAACATATCTTTGCTTGTGTCTCTGTCTAATTGGACTATTGAATACATATTCTCAACACAAAAAATCAAAGTAAGATTTAATGTAATTGCAACAGCATTTTGTCCCCACCCACCATATGTGCACCATGACACAACAATACCACTGAACCAACTCCAAAATTACAGTGTTGTTGGACTCTCAAGTTATGCATATCCTATATAAAAAAAGATTGCCCCCTCTACAATACAACTCGTATTGTAAATGTATGTAAATCGTGGATGTTGAGTGTATGAGACATTATGGGAAATGGATTGCATTTAAAAACGTCAGGGGCAATTTGTGGTTCAGTATCTAACCAAGAACACTTTGACATGTGGACTGTGTGAGCTGGGAATCCAACCACCAGCCTTCTGATTAGTGGACAACCCACTCTACCGCCTGAGCCACATCCTGATCAACCTGGCTTCTAAAAGGTCCTGTGGTCCAAAAACCCAGTCAGTGTTGTGCTGTTGTACATTTTTTTAAATGAAAATGTATCAGTCGTTATTGATTTCTCTTCTTTTGCTCCGTTTTTCTGGCATAAACAAAAATATTGTGCCGGCTGAGAAACTATTGTCAAGTTTCTGAGAATTTATCATCAATAATGGGACAATCTTATGTCATCACCGCTTTGATTTAACTGTTTCTCTTTCATTTAAGGTACTTGGTGGTGTAGAAAAGGAAACTGTAAGCTAGACATGGATACTGAAAGGAGCAGTGAGGTTTTGGATGCATCTCCACAGCAAGAGGAGGTTGTAATGGAAAAAGAGGCTGTGTCAAAACTAGAGGCGCCAGAAGAGTCCACAGAGCCTGAGAAGCCACCAGCTGCTGCTGAAGAGACAGAGCAGCTGGCAGTAAACGGCCATGATACAGAAGTCATAAACTTTAAAGAAACAGAGGAGCTGATTGTGACAGAAAATGTGGCGCTGTCCGAGCAGAAAGCAGATGGTGACGGCTCACCCAAAGATGCATCTGACCTGGAGTCAGCACCCATTGTAGAGGCTTCACCAGAACCAGATGAGTCATCTGAAAAGATCTCTGACCCAGTTGCAGCTTTCGAGGCAGAACCAGAAAAATTAGAGCCTGAACAGGAGCCTGTGCCAGAGAAAGACCCAGAACCTCTGCCCGTGAAAGCAACTCTGGCAGAGAGTGTCTCTGTGCCAGAGCCAGAGAAATTGACAGAATCGGAACCAGAAGCTGAGGTAGAAGAGCAAACATTACCTGAACCAGTCACGCTGCAGCAGCCAGTAGATGCACAACCAGCCGGCGAAGAAGAGATTGTGCCAGAACAAGTGGAGACCAAAGCAGAACTGCAGGCAATGGATTTGGGGGCAGAAATTGCCAAAGAGGAGGAGGCAGAAAACAATGTGGCAGCTGAGCCTCTAAATGAGGTGCAAGAAGAAAAATCAGCGGACACAGAGAAGGCTGCCGAGATGCTTATAGTGACAGAAGTTGCCTCAGAAAAGCCAACAGAGGCTGTGCCATTGAAGGAGGAAGATTCAGCTGAAGTTGAAGAGGAAAAATCTGCAGAGGACAAGAAGGAAGCTGAACCTGAAAAAGCAGAGCCTGAAACTCTGAAGGAAGCCGAAGCAGTAGCAGCAGAAGTCGTTGAGTCTGAGCAGAACAATCCTGAGCTTGTAAAAGATGAAGATACTGTCCCTGCATCTGGCTCCCTGTCCTTTGCCCTCCTGGAACGAGAGCAGACCAAAGACGCCCTCCGCACCTCTCGCACCTTAATTGTCCTCCGAGGCCTGCCAGGGAGTGGGAAAAGCTTCTTGGCGCGTGCCATAGCTGATGCCTACAAAGACCACTGCTCTGTCATCTGTGCTGACGACCACAGTGTAAAGCCAGAGAATCCAGAATCGTCTGCAAGTGGATACAAGGCTCTCGACGAGGCCGTGGTGAGCTGTTGCACTGCAGGAAAAACTTTGCCTGTGCTCATAGTGGTGGACGACACCAACCACAGCCAGGACAGGCTGGGCCGCATGGGGGAGATTGCTGAGGAACATCACCTTGTGGCTATCTTCTTGGAGCCGCAAACGGCATGGAGCTGCGATGTAGCACAGCTGACAACGAAGAACAGCCGAGGACTAGAGGAGGCCCAGCTGGATGCCATGAAGGGTCCACTTGAGGAAATGTCAATCCCTTTTTACTTTGGCTTCTTTCTTCTCTCGTCCGTCCAGGACAAAATTCGGTGCACATCCATGGACTTCCTTAAAACACTGGACACCTTGGAGGCCTTCAAGACACACATGCTGGACTGTGAGTGGTTTTTTAAATGTCATTCCTAAAAGTCAAATGCACCATTGAGTACTGTATCTAAGCCGATGAGTCTCTCATCTTTGCATAACCAAGATGCCACCGAACTTGTGTTTTTGTGTACAGTCACTGGTAAAGCTGATAAAGAGGTGGATCTGGAGCAGTACTTTAAAACCAAAGGAACCCTCCACTGCACTACCAAATTCTGCAACTATGGGAAAGCTGAGGGTGCCAAAGAGTATGCACAGAAGCAAGTAAGGCCTGTCAATTCATTCTTTGTTTATGAAAACTGAAAGCAACATATTCAAATTATAAGCCGCACTGTTAAGTAAACATTTCTCATTAACATCGTAGCAGTGTAATAAATGTTTGAATCAAACTGAATCTTATTTAATATTTCCCTCTTCTCCTGCTCTCTAGGCTGTTAAAGATTTATATGGTTCCACATTCGAGCTAGCACTGAGCGCTCTCTTTGTCACTCCTCGCACCGTCGGTGCCAGAGTGTCCCTCACCGAGGAGCAGCTCCTGCTGTGGCCGGATGATGCCGAAAAGGAGGCAGAGTCTGCTGTCCCTGCAGCTGCCTCCCTGCCTTTGGGAAGCCGCGCCCATGTCACTCTAGGGTGTGCTGATGGCGTAGAGTCCGTTCAAACAGGCCTGGATCTCCTGGACATCCTGGCTCTACAGCAGGAGGGCCAGAAGGGGGAGGTGGATGTGGAGATGGAGCTTGGCTTGCTGACCTATTACGGTGAGGGAAGGTGGCTGCTCAGCCTCAGGCAGCCCATCTGCGCCCCGGCCTGCTTCTCCAGCTTCTACAGGCGCAAGGAGCCGGAGTTGACCAAAAAAGAACCAGAGAAGAAAAAGAAGTCCAAGTGCATTATTCTGTAAATGGCAAAACACGGGGATGTGTGGCTGGGATGGCTGGTGAATTAAAACTTAGGCGTACTCTGTGCGAGCTTTGTGTGTTTGTGCAGGGTATAGGGATATCGTAATAGCCACCCTAATAACCACGAGCTGTGTGCCTTTACTGTTACTTTGCACCACAACCCGAGATGCCTTCAGTTGGGTTAGGCTTGTTGTTGTTGTCAGTGTTCAGTGTCTTGTCTCACACATCGGTGCCAGAGTTGCAGTACCTGCCGATTTGCTGATATTTCGTTAGCTGCAGTTATAGCTAGTATAGCCTCCTCACTCAGTTCCACAGTTACCTGAAACTTTACATTTCCTCTACTATACATGTTGGTGTTTCTCAGTATTCAGACGTGAAAGTTAATTAGGTACTTTGCATGCATCTCGGTAACAGTAGCAACGTATTAACACATTTCTGAAAAGAAGTAGCTCCGCCTCTCCAACAGAATTGTCTGGCGTTTCTTTTGGCTTAGTTGAAATTTCTCAAATAAACAGTTATTTTCATGCAAGTGTGCATGTGTGCAGCCTAGGAAGCAATGTTATGCATTAGATTGAATGTAACTTATAGAGGATCTTCTATGTAAATCTTTGCACTGTCTATAGTTTAAACGGGAGTTTGTTGATGAGTTTGGCATCTGTCTCAGCAGCTTGTTCTAGCACTCAAATGCTGTGAAAAGAATTTCATGTTTTGCAATCTTTTCTACTGTGCAAGACTGCACCATTGATCCCGTTTATCCCCTGAGAACAGCCCTTCATGTATTGCATTTCAATTTGTGTCCCATGTCAAGGTAATTTCTGAAGGGCAACCCCTACTCTTTGTAGCTCTTATGAATCACTATTTTTGCACTTGTTTTCTAAACTTAATAAAGAAAAGAACTTGCTTTGCTCCAGTAATTCAGTTTCACTGTGTGTTCAGTTCTGTCAGTGCACGTTTATGACATGCAGCATGCAGGCTGATATCTTGGACAGCTTATCGGCACATGGCAGTTTTCTCATGGCATCTAGGTGTAACATTTGACTATAAACCACCAGAGGGCGCTCAGTAATTGCACTGTCTGCTCTAGGGCTTTGTGGCAAAGTATGACACACCCACGATGACTCCCCAAATACTGTATTTTTAAACATTGAACCACAGACTGGATTGCTTCATTTGTCTGCTCTTCCTTTGAGTCTGGTAAAGTGTAACTGACCATTACCCAGAGAGCTGCCTGTGAGCCAGTGTTCAGCTGAAATCTCTTGTGTCAACTATTTGCATTAACACATTTAAACTTACTCTTAACCAGCAACCTGTTCTTATTTTATCATGCTTATAAATATTGTTAGGGTTAGCATCTGACTTAGAAAACAGCCCTTGACCTAAAAGAAGTTATAGCTCATTTGAAATTCTCATTATCGTAAGACGGGAATCAGGAAAACCAGTTAATACATCGTCCACCTGCCCCTTACTCATAATTTGTATCTGAATTAGTTCTTAGCAATGACAAAATATTATAGTAGGTGATTTTAACAGTCATGTGGACGTTGCTAATGACAGCCTTGGTTCTGCATTTAATGCACTATTAGACATTTGGTTTTAAATTGGTTTTCATTTAACATGTAATTAAATGACTCAATCACGCTCTTGATTTTGTTCTGACACTGCAGAGAAATTGAAAATGTTATTTTTCACCAAACCATTGTTTCTGTCTGACCAATTGAATATACAATTATCATCTACACTGATTTAAAACAAATCTATTTTAGTCTGTGTTGATCAGATAATAAACTAAACAAAGTAAAGGAGGTATTATTTTGATATTTACTCCACAGCCTTGTGTCAGCACAAAACTTTAAAATGTATAACCAACTCTACACAAAGGCAGTGGACACTGTAAAAGGAAGATACATTAGATTTTAAATAGTGTTGTTGAGAAGGAAACTTTCTGTTTTCATCAATAAAATAACGACACTTAAGTCAGTGCTTTTATACTGACCTGCACTCTCTGAGCCAAAAAATAGGCCAAGATCAGGTGAGAGAACCTTGGCCCCCACATGTCACACAGTCCACCTCAGTCTGTGCAATGGTGAGTGTGCAAGATCAACTCATTCTATCATTGGCTGCTGATGAGATAAAGAATAACGGCAGCCAATCAGCATCGGCGGGTAAATGCCCTGTTGTCTCTCGAGTGGTGCGTGTGTGAGGGAGCTGCTGAAGAAACCTGTGCTGCCTTCACGTACCTCCAGGAAACGGTTGACTCGATTTGGACCGCATATCTGACATGGAACTGTTGGGAAATTGATGTGATTTTAATCGGAGGAAAAAAAGAATACAATTCTGACATATTCTGTTTCAGTACTCACATCATGTAATTAGGGAAAATAGCAAAACCACAATATAAAAAATACATATAATATAATATAATAATTGTGAAAGTTTTTAAGTAACATTGGGAAAGGTTTTTAGAAAAATAATCTAGGCCCTATGCTATCACTATTATTATAATTATAATAGATGATTCACTAATTTAGCACTTCACTGTAGTAGTTGGTTGAGGTTGTGTCAATTTAAACTATTTCCTATACTGTACATGCTGTTCATCTAGAACAACTCACTGTTTGTATAAGCTTGTTGTGTAGTTTGTATATTTAGATTTTTGAAAATAGATAGATAGATAGTTTTTTATTGATCCCCAATTGTAGTGCTTCTGAACTGTAGTGGATTACATGTGTATAAACTTGCATGGAAATGCCAAAGTAGTGCAAGTGCAAGTATCTCAGATTTTTCTTAAGAGTAAATGTCCATCAAAAATCAAATTTCTACCTGGACAGGATAGGGATGTAGACCACAAGAAGGCATTGCTGAAATGAATGTGAGCCTAAAGTGGTCCACTTGTTAAATAGAAAATGTGGCCCATATATGTAATCCAGTTGGTGAAATGTAGTCCAACTCTGGCACTTTTGGCTGACGTGCGGTATTGCAATGGCTTACTTGTGGCCCAGATATTTGGTAAACGGATAATATTCCACATGTGGGCAGAATGACAGTGTGAGCCGAATCTGGGCTAAAACAATTTCACTATGTGGGCATGAATATATAATTTCAAATATCCACAGGTTGATATATCTTCTTAAGTCATACAAATCTGATGTCAAAAATTAAAACCAAAAGACAAACAAATGGTTTTCTGCTCCAAACATTTTATTGAATTTCCAGCAGTCCCTGAAGGTAGCAATAGAGCATGGTGCGGAACGAGCCAATCAGAGGCCACGAAACATCAGCCAACCTATCGGCAGATGGGCGATGGAGACAAAACTCCCAGGAAGCTGCAGCCTCCGGCACCACCGGTCTCCTGCACTGCCAGTCGGCCAGAGAGAAGCAGCTGCACCGCGGAGAGAAGTCCTTCATCCGGCCTTAAAAACACACTTCTACCGCTGTCTGAGGCAAATCTAAAGCGAGGTAAACAATGACTTAAGTGTTTATTTTGTGTTTAACTTCCTGTAACTCTGTCTTGTCTCTGACTGTAGAAGATCAGGAGATATAAAAACAAGTTGAGCAGCTCAGCCCACGTTGAACCTGAACTCTTGTTACATCATAGTTATCAGGAGGTGTGAATAAGAGTTTTCACTGAGTGGTGATTCTCTCACACTGAGACAGGAGCACTGCTGTCTGACCGGTTTGTGAATGAATGAATGAAAGAATGAAACAGAACCGACTCAGCAGGTTTTTTTGTCTAAATGATTAAAAATAATTTAATGTAATTAGTTGAAAGTGAACATGAAGATACAAATATAATCTTTTGCAGCATTTTTGAGTTGATTTAGATCTGTAGAGATGATCTGATTTTTCCCTTGGAGATACTGATGATAACTGGACTTTGTGTAATTGCAGATTCCCAGTAAAGACCTGATGCCATCTTGTAAAAGATCACAACTTGTATATCGTATTCAATAGGAGTGGAATTCAGAGGGTAATTGACTATATGCGATACATGGCTCGCGATTACAATAATATCATGATGCAAAGATTGTGTGATAATCATAATACCGATACATCAAGATCTCTAACTGAAGAACATGAAATGCCCCTAAAGAGGTACAGTGCAGAATTTGTGTTTTTATTCACTGCCATACTATATATATTTATAAATTCTGAGAAATATCTAGATTTGATGCCAGCATATCAATAATTGTATCTCATGAGTCAGAACGATGATATATTGCTGAACTTATGTTTTGTCCCACCCCTTTTGCCTAATACCTTTGTTTAACTATACCTTGTATGGAAGTGATGATTTCTGTCATTGTCAGGTTAAACCCTTTGAAAAACAAATGCGTACAGAGACTGAAGTCTTAATTGAAAAGAAACAAACACATTTCGGGATACACAACAACTACTTTCTTTTAAATAGCTGTTAGAGAGCAGCCACAGTTTGAAAATAAAAACAAAAGATCTTTCAAGTAAGTAAATACAGTAATAGTATGAAACAGTGCAGCAGCAACTTCAAGACTAAATAAATTCCTTTAAAGAAAATGTTTATCACTATGATATGGTTCTTTAAATGCTTTGTGAGATTGCTAATATTGTAATTGTCCACAATGGTGAGACACCTCTAAAACATATGCTATGTGTTGCTGTTTTACATGTGGGACTTAAATATTGCCCAATTGCTGATATTTAAGCTAGTTCTGGCATCTGGATCAGATATCACTTTTTATTTGCTGCTATGAAACCAGTACTAACCAGTGAGGGTACAGCACAACTTCTGTTTTAGAGTGCCATGAAGAAATTGCATTTTTATCTGCGTAAAAAGAATATACTTGATATCGGGTCGGTACATTGTAACTGAGGTATTTCTGATGATGGTATTGATATTGGAACATCCATAATCTCTCTGTCATCTCCTGTTGGATGTGTTTTCTTTTTTTATGTGACTGCATCATCTGAACCGGTGTGTTTATCAGTGTTTGTGGATATTTAGCACCACCACAGACAGGTACGTTTGCGCAGAGCAAGTGGATGATACATGGGCAGAGGATGGGCTCTGGATGAGCCATGTCGGCCTGGTCTGGAACTAGCGCCGTGATGACTCAGGGACAACGATGATCAATAGTGAGAAAGGTCCACGACAGTCCCATTAATCCATTTAAGGAACGGCTGCCAGGGCCGCAGCGTAGAGAGGAGGGTGGGGGGGGGGTCCAGTTTGAGGGGACATCAGGGCTCTCAGCTTAATGAGAGGAACAGTCAGTGCAGGTGCTTTGTCCCTGCAAGGTTACACAGTGCTCAGTGGTTGTCAGGCTTTGAGAGGTGGTAATTAGGGAAGGCCTTGGTGTATCAAAGCCTTAATGGGCCATGTTTTTGTACTTTGGTGTCCTGGTATTAACCAACATTCTGTTTGGGCATCCTGTCCTATAAAATGTCAGAGAATGCTCATCAGAGTTTATGAAAATGAATTGTACTAGTACAACACACAAGGCAACACATCCTCACAAATGAAAACAAGAGAGCAGGCCACGTTTGGCATTTTTGTTTGGAAAAATGATTGGGACCATTAATTGACCTTCAACATACACATTTCTGTCAATCAACTTGACTTGAATGAACTTATACATCTTCTAATAAGTAAAACAATGAGGGCTAAAAGAGGCAAAAGCCATTTTAGGCAAGAACAATGTTATTTTCTTGTTGATCATGACAGCTACAAGCTACTGGATTTCAGTTTGGGATCGAATGTGATACTGTCTCTTGTTTTTAAGATAATAAGCTTTATTTATTTATTAAGCACGTTAAAAAACAAGGGTTGAGCCAAAGTGTTTACCAATCATGGCAGAGGAAGGCAACATGAGCACATATAAAAGATGAGACAGAAAAAGAAAAACAGCAAAAGTCAAAGAAGATATGTGAAAATAATGATAGGCATGAACAGAATCATTAGACAGACTCAAGATGCATTAAAATCAAGATTAAACCGTTCACATTTTAAATTACATGGAAAATGATCAATAGTAGGGCGAGTCCTGATGTGGACAGGTGACAGCACACACAGGTCTGTGATCTGGATACTGGCTCCAACATATTTTTGCAAGTGCTTGTTTAACCTCTTCAGTTCTTTTTCGGATCTTGGTTTTGCCATTGAACAGAAATTATTCCTTGTTACATGTTATGTGTCTCATCTGTACAGAAAATGAGAAAAGAAGTAAAGAAAATAGTTAAAGACGTTATTGTTTGGAGATAAGTGAGATGAGCGACTATCCCAAATGATGCTGTGAAAACTTCCACGTGTCCTGTGATGTGTGGGAACATGACATCACTGTGTAAATCCAAAGGATAAAGGTCATAGCTCCGCCCTGTAGCAGTAAAATATACAGATGCCATTACAGGTTATTAAGTTTCTTGCTTTCTCTCACGTTCTGCCACTCAAATCAAAGAAATCCTTGCACCTTACAAATCAATTTCTTATCACTTGATGTGTCTGGGTTTTTTATAGATACAATCTATGGCCTGGGCTGATTTCCAGCTCTGATGATAACGATAATGGGTCACGTCAGATAAAGCTGAGGCTGAAGTCCCACACTGTGATGTAACTCCAGCAAGAATCTGATTGTTTGAGTGCAACACGTGCCCATTACCAGATAAAAAAAACCCTGAGGCCAATTATGTTGGATTTAGCTTCCCAGGCTTCCTTGTCTGTGCCACAGAAGATGTGACAGATGCCTGAATATGCAGTTTGTATGTAATTAGGTTTTCTAGCCTCTATCTCTTTCATTTCTGTGCAGTAACATTTCATTATGTTACAGTTTCTTTTCGTCAGTTTGTTTTTTTTATATCTCATGGGAATACAAATTGCAGAGCTGTCTCTCAGAAACATTTCTTGACAGATCTGACAGCAGACATTTTTTTTTAACTCCGCCAAGCAGGTCATGTTTTCGCCCCTGTCAGTTTGTTTGTTTATTCGCAGGATTACGCAAAAACTACTGAATGGATTTCCATGCAAACTTGTTAGAAGGATGGGAAATGGGCCAAGACAAAGCCCATTAAATTTTGGCACATATTCCAGGGATTTTTTTCAGCTTTGTTATTGAGAGAGAGAGAGAGAGCGAGAGAGAGAGCCTTTTGGACACTTGCATCAATTTCCCAGGGAATAATGAATGGTTCCTGATTGGAAAAAACTTTTTTTTTAGGGGACTGATATCTATGACTGAAGGAAATGAATGCTTGTCATTTTAAACTGTTTTTCTGTTTGTTATTTATTGCTTCTTTTCCATATCCATCCATCCACACACATATCTATATTAATCAATCTCCCATCTCATCTCTCTTTGCCTCTCTTTCCTCTATGACCAGTCTAGACGAATTAGTCATGTCAGCCAAAGCCATCTCCGAGCAGACAGGAAAAGAGTTCCTGTACAAGTACATCTGCACATCGGCAGCTGTCCAGAACAGATTCCGTTATGCCCAAGTGACGCCTGAGACCGACTTTGCCCGACTGGTGCAGGACCACCCATGGCTGCTCACAGAGGTAAGACCAAAGAATCAGTCGTGATGGGGAAAAAGTGTGTTCACATAAAATGTTCTTTACCTGCAAGGACAGTTGTCTTGTATTATAAAATTATAGCCCACAAATGCCACTGAAGCACAATCTCCTTGTGGAGAATGATCTCCTCTAGTAGAGACATTTACTTAGGCTTGCAGGAGATCGGTCTCTTGATGCTTGTCAGCTGACGTCACAGACGGCAACGTGATCCAGCAGAGAAGAGAGCAAAAACAGGAAATGTGGAGAAATTCTCACAATTCACTCACGGAGATCAGCAGAGATAGTATTTTCTATGCAAACATACAGGCATAGGGAGGTGTTCTGGTTTTTGGTCCCAACCTTGTGCTGCTCTTCATTGCAAAGTTGTAGCAGATAGACGCGCTGTAATAGAAGTTAATTGAATCACTCTGTGACTCATCTTTCAGGATACAACGTTACTTTCCCTCCGTCTCTCCATTCTAGTAAGAGGTTTTTTTTATCTGGAAGGTACGGGAGGATGAGGTGGGCAGATACACGGAGATATGTGCTCCCATTGAATTGATTGGGAAATCACATTAACTTTCACCCTCGGCCCTCTGTTCCATCGCTCACTGGCGAGCACCCAGATACTAATGGCTCCGCTGTCATAAGTCATTCGCTTTATCTGGCTTGCAAGTGAGAGGATGCAGGGCTTCGTTGGTGGTTTGATGAGTGAATTTTGCATCCGTGTCAGATAGAGGAATGACGTGTATAAGAGAGTCCTTCTTAAATAATGTGCAGCTCCGCTTTTAGGTGATAGATGCTATTTGGCAGCCTGGGATTTTAATGATGAGACCAGATATTTGAGTGATAAGATGATTAAATGAGCAAATATCTGTTGTCTCATGCAGTGAATTAAGATGACAAGAATGAACAAGCATAGCCGCACAATGTTTCAGTGCAATTTTTCAAATGCACACGATGGAACACAATGAATAATTCCTGATCAGTGACTGAATTTGAAGCATTGGCCTCACTCTAAAACTCATTAATTCATGTTTATTCAACTACTGATGTCTTTTAATTATTGTTGATGAATTGCTTAATTAGCTGCTTCATAAATTGTTGAAAAATATTGGAAGATGGTTCATCCCAACAAGAACAAGAAACCAAATCCCCTAAATTAGTATAGATTGTTTTGTAAAAGCCTGACCTGTTTGATTAATTTTGTGTTGATCGACCAATGGATTCATTAGCTAATCTTTCCAGCTCTAGTTGAATCTAAAGGCAACTAATTAAGAGCAATGGATGGTCTGATTTGAAATGTAATTAACAGCATTTTAACATAACAGCAACAGAAATCATCTCCTAAAACCTGTTTATTTGATATATTTATTTCAATGAGTTTGCACTCTAGAATAAATGATGTGAATGTAATAGAGTATAAATCCGACTACTGGTGATATCTGTTGGTCTTGTTTACATGCAGCATGTTTTTTGTCTTTTTTTCCCATCAGAGGCTGGTGGTGAAGCCGGACCAGCTGATCAAGAGACGAGGAAAGCTGGGCCTGGTCGGCGTCAACCTGGACCTGAATGGTGTCAGAGAGTGGCTGAAGTCCCGCCTAATGATGGAGACAACCGTACGTCACCAACCCTCTCCATTTCTGCTGATTCTCAGCCTATTACCCCCACTGACCTTTCTATTTGAGGGGGTGCACTTTGCTGAGCAGTCCTCCGATCAATATTTTCCAGTGCTTTATTCAGACCCTCCTCCTGCCCTCTCCTTCACCCTCCCTCTCACATTTTACATCGCTGCGTTTCTGTGTTGTTGTTTTTGTGCCCCATACCTAGATTGCTGAAGGGTTTAGTGTTAGTCTGCTGGTTGTAAATCAGTCCAGTCAGCTGAAGCAAGTGCTGCTAGTGAATAAACACGCTCCATCTCTCCCGTCAGCATAACCACCGCACAAAAGATCCATCACTGAGCCACAGAGACACCGCCTTGCCTCATAAACCAAGACACAAGTTCTGGAGAGACAAGGACGGTTCATAAAGTCTTGAAGAAGAGTAGTGTCTGTGTGTGTGCTGCAACACTGAGATTGCTTGGATGTATCGCCTCCCAGATGAAACTGTCAGCAGCTGCTGGTGGCAGTAAATAAGAATAAATGAAATCAGAGCAGACAGTGTCTCAGCTCACTTGGTTATGTCTGCTCCCTAAAACTGCTATATACTCATGTTATTTTTGTCTTTGACATAAATCTGTAAACTAATTAAACAATTTTAGTTGTTATAGATATGAAATCTTTACTCTTTACTGCGAGTTTGTTTAGTAGCTAGCATCTCTAAATGCTGCTACCATGAGTAATCACAGCTATCTGTAGCTGTGATTAATATTCATTTTGCATTGACACATGTCCTGTCACCTATATTATCATTCGTATTGACAGGTTGCTGCAGTTCACCACATTGCTTCACTTCATATCTTGTGTAGTCATATTACCACAAGTGGTTAATCTGAGTCTCATGCATACAAATTGTATTCACAGTTTTGTTTCTCTGCGAGGCAGTAACAGTGGTGTTTATCTAAGTAGGTCTGAGTCCCCTGTGCCCTTTTCAATCAGATAGCCTTTCTGTTGTTTCCATCCATCATCAACCTGCTTTCTATGGCAACTCCCTCTCTTCCTCTTTTATTATTTATTTCTGTTTTCTCCAGCTGGCTGCACTCAGTCAGTCCCTGGTTACTGTTTGCCTTTTGACCTTTTAACAGTGACAGCTTCACCAAATGAGCTTGGTCTCTGCTAGTGAGACTGTGAGTCATGCATAACCACATTTTCTTTTCTTTTCCGTCCTGACGTGTCTCATGTATTCACTGGTGTCATGTGGTGGCTGTGTGTTTGGTAATAGTCAAACCAAAGTATGATGTCTGAAAACAAAGAATGAATGTGTAACTATGGAATCGTCCACAAACTACAGACCATAGAGCAGCTGTAGTGTCCTTATTGTTTAAAATAAAGAAATAATTTTGCTTATGATCCTCAGGTTGGAAAAGCCAAGGGAATTCTCAAGAACTTCCTCATCGAGCCATTTGTCGCACACAAGCAGGTAAACCATTCATCATACGTGTTATGTTTAATGTGTGACTCAATCGTCCAACTAATAAATATGAAAAGTTCTGATGTATTAAATGTATGGTACAGTGACATTTATAAATTTACATCTTTGTGAATGTCCATTGCTCAGGAGGAGGAGTTCTACGTGTGCATCTACGCCACCAGAGAGGGCGACTACGTCCTGTTTCACCACGAGGGAGGGGTGGATGTAGGAGACGTTGACGCCAAGGCAAGGAAGCTGCTAATTGGTGTGGATGAAAAGATCAGCGAAGACTCTGTGACGAAAGAGCTGCTGACCCACGTACCGAACGACAAGAGAAAGTGAGTTGGATACAGAAAGGAATTGAAGGGGAATTCTGTCAATGATGGAAACTAGTGAAATATAAGGTTCTGTCTAAGATTTGTTTATTCTCCACTGCAATATTTGTTGCGTGAATAATATGGTATCATAAGGATAGATTAATACAAACGGCCTCCTAAAAGTAGCATTTCATTTTCAAATTAGATGAAAATACATGATTTGTTTCAAACTGATTTTCAAATGACATAATAAATATATTTTATTTTGGAGGAGTAACTGAGTGTTAGCAAAAAAAGCAGTTTCCAGTTCCACTACAACCTTTCTGCAGCGCAGACATGGGTATAAATCTAAACTAAAAATGATGATAAACTACTTTCAAATGCAAAAAAACTCTGCATGATCCATTACGTTGTTAAACTCCTGACCAACGAACTAAAGCATGACTCAACTGACGTAAGGGAGAGAGCACTTCGATATTGGCAGTAAACGTTGGGGGAGCAGGAGGAGACGGTCGGAGGGGTTTCCATTACACAAATGACAAATTCCCTCCCCTGCGTCGCCTTTCTTCGATCAGCCTCCACCCCCAGGCTTTTTTACACTACCGCTGCTTTCAGAGCACGTTGCCATTTTATTTCTACGATACAGTGGCTCCCCCTCCTCCCCTCCAACCCCACTCCCATCCATCTCTCCTCTGGCGCTCCTGTTATGGCCGGCTCTGGCCGGACTGGCTGTCTTGGCTGACATTGAAGAAGTCGCCCAAGGAATCGCTCTGCCAACCACCATCTCACCCCCTCACCTCACCCCTTACACTCTATCTCCTCGTCCTCCCTTCAGACTGAAAACAAGAGCAGCACTCTGACGTTTTTTTTCACATCCCTCCCGTCAGAATCAGACACGGGAAGCTGAGTCACTCTGGGTCTGGGTCAGAGTTTTCTCCCAGGGGCCAGTCTGAGTCCTGACAACAGGCCGCCGTGGTCACAAAAGGCTCCCGGCTGCCTCAACAATTGACAGAGGAGAGAAAAATACTGCCTACCTCCTCCACCTCTACCCCCTCTTCCTCCTGCAGTAACAACCCCCCTCCCCACTCCTCACGGATCTGTTTTGACATTTGAAGGAGGAAACAAATTAGATTTTCCTTCATCTTAAATCATTGTCTCTGCAGCTAATTTACAGGTACACTGTTTCCTGTCCAGCTCAGCCTCAACAATCCCTCAATGATATTGCCTGTTATTTGTCATGGTTTGAATTATGTGGAAAATATAATGGCCACACTGTACAGCTGCCCACTCATCTGCACAGGGACATTCTATTGCATACAACAGCACATCTGACATGTTCTGTCCATAGACTATATAAAAAGGCTCTGTCATGTAAGAGACATCCTGTGACAATTAAAGAACTAAAAATTTAGTTTTCAGATCAGTTAAAAATATAAAAATATCAATTAGAAATATTGAAATGCATATATTTAGTAAGAATATTTAAAAACAATAGTATGATATTTGACAATTTAAATGCCTATGCTTTTCCAGAAGCTTTCTAAGCATAAAAATATGACTTAGACATATTGAAATGTTTATTTAATATAAAAAAATAACTACTTACTTGATGATTTAAATACGTATGACTTTAACTTTGTTTTTATTTTGCAAATAAGTAAGAAATGTACAACATGAATTAGAACTGTTGAAATGAATATCAATGAAAATCCCAAAAATAATTTACTCCAAACCAAACATTCATAACATTGCATATATCAAAAAGATTGTGTTGTGAATGTTTAGTCAGTCTGGAGATAATTAAATGGGTTATTGTGTATTCACTTAGATACACAACATAGGGTTAAAACTATTTTTCGTATGAATAATCATTTAACTCAATTCACAGAATGTCAGAGAATCTGAATTCTCATGTTCTCAGATTGCTTGTTTTGTCTAATGAACAAAATCCCATAAATATTCAAATCACAATCATATAAACAGAAGATACTCATATTTAAGAAAGTTGTACAAGTACATGTTTGGCACATTAGACAAATAGACAATAATCATTGCTGAAGATTCATTTTCTGTTGATTGACTCATTATTCCAGCTCTAATGTGATTATAACATTTGATAATGCAATGCAAGTCACCAGACATCCTAAGAAAAAATGTTGCTTCCCTGCAGGGTCCTGGCCAGTTTCATCGTTGGACTCTTCAACCTGTATGAAGACCTGTTCTTCACATACCTAGAGATCAACCCATTGGGTAGGTGTTTCTTATTTTTACTAAAATCTGTAGTAACATGACAAGCTATGTCTTCAGAGGCAATCGGGATGATGATGAATTCACATTTGATTCCAACAAAGATTCATAACTGTCTCATCAGATTATGGAATTGGAAATGGATCATAATAAGAAGACATCAATGCACTATAAAAACATCATCTTGATGTTGATTCTGCAATATTTTAACACTGAGGGAGGAAATGAGTGAATAATTCATGCACTTGCTGTTTGATGAAGGCAGCTTGTTTATAATGCAGTAATTGGGCACCAGTACATGGCCCCTGGCAGCTGGTGCTGAGGATGTGGTTGGGGACCCTGAGACTAGCTCGCCATGCTTTGATGTCGCACCACCTACTCCCCATCTTCACTTCCCTTCCTCCTCCTGCACCGACAGCAGGAAGGTTGTGGGTCGCTTGTGCCCGACCACAGTCCTCTCCAGTTTTGCCTTGTCCTATTTAAAGCTCAGTCCCTGTGCTAACATCAGCTGCTTTTGAGATATGCACTGAACTCTGGATATTCTCCTGAAATTATCCAGAGATGTGAGAGCACAAATGTCCGAGCTTTTACTGCCAGCCCCCTGGTAAAAAAGTGCAGAGAGTGTCTGAGTGAAATAACAGGATATCGTGCGGAGAATTCACTACGAGCAATGGGGGACATACATGACATTTCTAACATGTATAAGAAAAAGAAAACAAATATCTCAGGTTGGAAAAGATGTGCAGTACAAGTAGAGGACACTGAAGAAGATGTCAGCTAGGGGGGACGAGACTTATGTGAAAGGCAAAGTCTGTATAAAACCAGGACCCACTTATCCGGAGTTCATGTTTGCAAAAATACAGATCCTCACATGTTTTCTTTCGTCTCCTCAGTGCTCACAAAAGATGGTGTGTACGTGCTGGACATGGCGGCCAAGATTGATGCCACAGCAGATTACATCTGCAAGGCCAAATGGGGCGATGTGGAGTTCCCTCCACCTTTCGGCAGGGAGGCCTATCCTGAGGTGAGGGACGACTGGAGACAAACCTCCAGCAGTGCATCAGATTTCAATCTGTCAGCATCAAAGAGCTGGAGTTGTCGTCCACTGAGGAAATATAGTTGGCTGTGGAGTGGATGTAAAATGACCAATATTAGAAGTAACTTAACATAATTGTTTTCATTCTGAATTTCATTCTCATTAAATATACAGTAAAAGAAAGTGGATTTAATTATTTAACATCTGTTAAATAAAACTATGACACAGACTATATGCAGAGCCTCTCACTGAGACCTACATTGAAATCACCTGAGATTATGAATGTTTCATTCTGGGAATTTGATTTCGTAAAGATTTGTGTTTCTTCTTTAAGAAGAATTAATAATAACTTCAGTGAGTTTACCTTCCACTCCTGCTCTGTAGCAGCCTGCACTGTCCTCGCTGCCACATGTTGACTTAATGAGGAAGGGCTGTATGAACAGACAGGTGGTGTAATAGTCGAGCGACGTCTGTTAGAGACCTGTACATATTAATGCCACCTCTTATATTGGTACAGTTTTGTAATTATTTAGAAACGAGAGTAACTTAAGAGTAAATAAAATTGAAAACCCCTGCTAGTTAGCGTTGAATCACCTGCATCACAATAACAATAATAATGTGTTTCAAATGTTGTGTATACAGGAAATCCTTTTCTAGTTCTGGCTGACGTGTAGGAGCTTGTTTGGAAGACGGTCTGTCTGTGGAGCAGACGGGCTGCTCTAATTGGTTCGCTGTGAGACAGTGGAGATGTGACACTGCGGGTGTCTTTGATTAGGAGCTTTTTTTACCCTCAGCCACCAGCTGTGGCCCTGATGTACAACACATCCTCCATCGCAGTTAATATTTATTCAGTTTTTCCACTGACTGGCTCTTCAACATTGGCGCAAGCACAAGCAATGAATTGAAGTAGTGCTTATGAAGCCCTGCTCTGATTAACCTCCCAGCTTTTCAGCCTTCATGTAACCATTCTCTCTCCTCTTCACTGACCTTTTCTCTTGACTTTGGCAGGAGGCCTACATCGCTGACCTGGATGCCAAGAGCGGTGCCAGCCTTAAACTCACCCTGCTCAACCCCCGAGGCAGAATCTGGACCATGGTGGCAGGAGGAGGTGCCTCAGTCGTGTACAGGTACCCACTTAAAACTATTTTACACTGAAATTTCAGCGTATATGTGGGTTTTTAAAGAAAGGTAAACCCACTAAAAGAAAGCAATCAACTCCCATTTCCAGTAGATTTTTTTCCCCAGTGCCTCATGTCATTAACGCATTCATCTAGGTGTTGGGTTTCTATCACTGCCGAACGGAGCCGATTAAAACCCTGCGCCTGCTGCAGGATTATTTGAACTGGGAGTGAATGCATTCCCATTGCAGACAAAAGCCAGAGCAGCCTATCCGGGTACTCCGCCCGTTTTTGGGGTTATTGCACTGGCGGCAAGTACTAATTCCGAGGTGTTTGCTAGTTTAACAGCATAAAATAAGAAATCTGTATTTATTTTTAGGTAGTAGGAGCCGAAGTCATATGAATAGGAGGCAAATATTTAAATTATGTTGTTGCATATTAATGATTAGTGTTGTTGCATAGGAAAATGAAGGAAATGGGGGTTGCTGAGTGTCCCTTTAGTCTAATCAATCAATAATCACTATATTGTTTTTCAAGTTTATAACTGTTTCCTTTAACTTCATTAACTAACCCGTGATGAAATCTTTGCTACAGATGTACATTTGACCACATGAACTAAAGCAACACATCTGTTTCTTTATGTCTTTGCGGAGGCAAGGAAAAACGTAAACTGCGCTTTTTTAAATCATTATTTGAACACTTTCAAAGCGTAGTTTTTAGCCCAAAAGGGGGCGTGGTCGTTCTGGAACCACGAAAGTGGCGTATGCCTGCTTCCATCTATGCTAAATAAATAAGACACCAGTAACCATGTGTCAGTTATAATTCAATGCTGTTTTTCCTTGTTGCTTAAGTCGTCCCCTGACTTTTCCTCATTATATTGATTACACTACGCATAATTGGGTTTTGCATTAGGGGACGATACCAGCAGTGCTGTTGTGAGACTGATGGTGCAGCAGCTCCGACTCTCCCCGTTCAGCTGAAATCTCAAATGGATTCTGAGATGCTGCTGAGAGTCGGGAGGGTTGAGCTCAGCCGTCTGTCGTGGGTGTAAAGCGTGACTTGCAGACACATCAGCCATGACTAATTATTCCCTTTGTGCAATTTAAGTTGTTGTTTCAGTTAACAGTGCAGTTATAAATCAAAATAAATGGCGCACTAAGTGCACTCTGAAGTTTTATCTTTTTTCAGTTTATTGTTGGTGCTGGAAAGACTGTCCCAGCCGAGCTGATAGAACAGCAGATTTTGCTTATTCTGCTGTATGTGTGACCAGTGTAAACTTCTCTGTAGTGACACAATCTGTGACCTGGGTGGCGTCGACGAGCTGGCCAATTATGGAGAGTATTCAGGAGCACCCAGCGAACAGCAGACCTACGACTACGCCAAAACCATCCTGTCGCTGATGACCAGAGAGAAGCACCCTGATGGTAGGAAAACTGCTGTGTCAGATTTTTACTGTATAATAAAAGTTAATGTTTTTTCCCCTTATAATAATGGTTCAATGAATTAATATTTTTCAGGAAAGGTTTTAATCATTGGAGGAAGCATTGCAAACTTCACAAATGTTGCAGCAACATTTAAGGTATAGTTTCATATGATTTCTGTAGCCTTATTTTACTGTGTGCATGTCAAGTTAATTACAGTGTTTATCCTTGTCTTTGCCAGGGGATTGTCAGAGCCATCAGGGACTACCAGGTGCCTCTAAAGGAGCATGAGGTCACCATTTTTGTCCGTCGTGGAGGCCCCAACTACCAGGAAGGTCTCAGAGTGATGGGAGAAGTTGGTACGTTGCACAGTAGATTCTTCTAAATCTCAAGGCAGTATGTCTTAAGAGTATTACACTTAATTCTCTTCTGCCCGCTCTCCTCAGGCAAGACCACTGGAATCCCCATTCATGTCTTTGGCACAGAAACCCACATGACAGCCATTGTTGGCATGGCACTGGGCCACAGGCCAATCCCCAACCAGCCTCCTGTTGCAGCCCACACTGCCAACTTCCTGCTCAACTCCAGCGGCAGCACATCGGTATGGCACTAGCTGGCTCCACGGACACAAACAGGCCTTCGTGTTGTCCTGTTGGCTCACTGTGCAGCGAATTTACATGATCAGATCCACTAATAGTGAGGAGCTTTGTGGAGGCAGTGAGCAGAAGACTTCCATGTCTCTCTTTCAGTCATCACTGTCCTTTTAGTGAACTAGAGTATCAGAAGCCCAATGGCTCCTTTTGTGTAAGAGCATTGCAATAGTGGTGAGACACAGTTACACGCTGCGACTGCCTCGAGGCATCCATTAAGAGTGCAATGCGTGGGCTTTCAGCAAGGAGTGCGTGTGCCCTCACATGTGTGCACACCATTTACTTCAAAAGCAGAATTAGATGTATAGAAGACAAGGAGATTGAATATCATACATGTATAATACAGATGATTGCATAGTATTACAAAAAAAAGTGATTGTTTTGCTCTTTCGTGTCATGTCCAGACTCCAGCATCCAGCAGAACCGCATCTTTCTCGGAAAACAGAAATGGTGTAGAGAGCTCGCCAGCCAAGAAGGCCAAAAGCGGAGCTCCCAATGGTTAGGACACACACACACACACACACACACACACACACACACACACACACATTACTGCATTGGAAAATCTTGCACTGTACTCTGAGGACTTTGTGTTCTGACACAGTATAAATGGTAGAAGCCCTGTGATCATGCTTGGTTCAAGGTATTATAGCTCCCTCTCTGGACAGCAGGAGGACACTGCAGTCCAAATTTAATAAAACTGAAATGGACAGTTTGCGTCCTGAGCTTTGTAGTGATCATAATTCTTGTCTTCCTCTTGTCGTCACTTTCTGTCTGTAACAACTTTCCTTTCCCTGTAGCCAAGGCAACGACCCTCTTCAGCAAACACACCAAGTCCATAGTGTGGGGTATGCAGACTCGGGCAGTGCAAGGCATGCTGGACTTTGATTACGTCTGCTCCAGAAATGAGCCGTCTGTAGCAGCTATGGTCTACCCATTCACGTAAGCATCTTCTGTCTGTTTCCTTAACTGTCAAGCTGGCAATGTAATGGCTCCTGATTGTACCTTCACTATGTGACTAATCACTTTCTACCTGGCTGTTTTTCCAGTGGAGACCACAAGCAGAAGTTCTATTGGGGCCATAAAGAGATCCTCATCCCTGTGTATAAGAACATGGGAGACGCCATGAAGAAGCACCCAGATGTGGACGTGCTCATCAGCTTTGCATCTCTGCGTTCTGCCTTTGACAGCACCATGGAGACCATGCAGTACCCACAGGTAAATACAATTCTTTACCATCTGGAAACTAAAAATATGCAAACTTCAAACGTTAACCATTTATTTCCAACTACTTCCAGATTCACACCATTGCCATCATTGCTGAGGGCATCCCCGAAGCTCATACCAGGAAGATCATCAAGGCAGCAGATGAGAAGGGCGTCACAATCATCGGACCAGCAACTGTAAGACTCGCCTTAGTTTTCACAAGAGTGCTCAAGATTTCTCCTCTGTTTTCTCTCCTCTCAGCAAATCCCTGTTTTTTCAGGTTGGGGGAATCAAGCCTGGCTGTTTCAAAATCGGTAACACAGGGGGCATGCTGGATAACATCCTTGCCTCCAAACTCTATCGTCCAGGCAGCGTGGCCTATGTGTCTCGCTCGGGCGGCATGTCCAACGAACTCAACAACATCATCTCCCGTACCACTGACGGCGTTTTTGAAGGAGTGGCTATCGGCGGCGACAGGTATGTGACTTTTACCTTGAGCAGGTAGGAGCCTGTGATTTTAAATTGGTGTGTAACTCTGGACTCTTCTGCAGATACCCAGGATCTGTGTTTACTGACCATGTGCTTCGCTACCAAGACACTCCTGGAGTAAAAATGATTGTTGTCCTGGGAGAGGTAAGGAAAGAATGTAATGTAATGTAAACACGTGCTGCCGAAGCTTAAGACAGTTATTGATTTTTTCCAGCTACATCTAGTATCTGTTGCTGTCTTCCACAGATCGGAGGCACAGAGGAGTACAAGATCTGCCAGGCTATTAAACAGGGCAGGATCACAAAGCCAGTGGTCTGCTGGTGTATTGGCACCTGTGCCACCATGTTCTCCTCAGAGGTGAGAGGACATAATGAGAGATTTTAAGGAATACATGTTTAATGACATTTCTGACCCATGCTGCACTTTTCGCTCCCCCACAGGTTCAGTTCGGCCATGCAGGAGCCTGTGCCAACCAGGCCTCTGAGACGGCAGTGGCTAAGAACAACGCTCTGAAAGAAGCTGGTGCCTTCGTCCCGAAAGGCTTTGATGAGCTGGGCGAGATAATCAAGTCCGTGCACAGTCATACTGATAACTTGAGTTCTTCATACTAAAATTATAATTCACCAGTACATGATTTTTCCATTGTTAAATATTTTTTTCCATCTATGTAGATCTGTTTATGACGACCTTGTTGCCAAAGGAGTTATCCTGCCAGCTGAAGAGATGCCTCCTCCCACTGTGCCAATGGATTACTCCTGGGCACGAGTGAGTATATCTAGTTCGTTTTTTTTAGCTTACTAAGTTTTTATTGTCAACATACTTAAAATGGAGAAACACTTGACCAACACATATCTTACTAAATTAGGAATTACGAATGGCATGGTTCTGTTAAGGGCCCAAGAGAGTGCAGTGTCAAACATCAGCATGTTCTTGACAATGACAACTGATTTTCCAATTCAGGGTTTTGTTTACTGAGTCAGGCTTGACTGAACTTTGAATAAACAGGTGAACGGCAGAGGTGGCGGGGCCTCTTGAGTCCAGCAGCAGGTCTTTACTCACCACAGCTCAATTACTACAGCTCACTTTTACAGGTTCAGAAAGAAAAGCTGCAACCAGCATCACCACAGGCCAAACAAACAGCCCATTCCCACCTGGTTCACAACGGACACTGCACTAGTCCTTGAAATGCAAAACCTTTGACAGAATCATATTGTTTCAAATTGCAACACAGCATAAACTATGACTGCATGAAGTGATGTTTTCTTTTTCCTCTTTGTGTCTTTTGCCCTGCAGGAGCTCGGTCTTATCCGTAAGCCCGCCTCCTTCATGACCAGCATCTGTGACGAGAGAGGTCAGGAGCTTATCTACGCGGGCATGCCCATCACTGAGGTCTTCAAGGCAGAAATAGGCCTGGGAGGAACTCTGGGTCTGCTGTGGTTCCAGAGGAGGTCGGCCTCTTAACTTATAAACAAATGCTTTAAAAATCCTTGAACCACAATATCATGTGTAGTTTCCTTCTCTTTGTTTGCAGGTTGCCGAGGTACGCCTGCCAGTTCATTGAGATGTGCCTGATGGTGACTGCAGATCACGGCCCGGCTGTTTCTGGTGCCCACAATACTATTGTCTGTGCGCGAGCTGGCAAAGATCTCATCTCCAGCCTTACCTCTGGGCTCCTCACCATCGTAAGATCCTGCTCCTGGTGATGCATGTCCTGTATAAAGTGAATATACATTTATTTGATTTCTTGTTGTCCCCTCAGGGTGACCGCTTCGGAGGCGCTCTGGACGCTGCAGCAAAGCAGTTCAGCAAGGCTTTTGACAGCGGCATGCTGCCGATGGAGTTCGTCAACAAGATGAAAAAGGACGGAAAGCTGATCATGGGCATTGGACACAGAGTCAAGTCGGTGAGTGTCACAGCTCCCAAGAATGTGCACATCCATTGTGGACAGCAGCAGAATTATATATTAACTCTAGGAAGTTTTCATTAATTCTCTATCAATCAAGAAGCTTTGAGGCCAGAACCAATTTAAGCATGAGAACTATAGAAATAAATGTATTTTGCTGTTATTATTTCTTGACAATAAAGAGGGATTGTGCGTTTCCTCAGATTAACAATCCAGACATGAGAGTCCAGATCTTGAAGGACTTTGTGAAGCAGCACTTCCCCTCCACCCAGCTGCTGGACTACGCTCTAGATGTAGAGAAGATCACCACATCCAAGGTAAGATGATTTATTTCATCATCTCGCTAGAATAATTATTTATACACAGTTTTTAAATAACATGACCCTCTTTTTTTTCTGCTTCGTGGAATTAGAAACCCAACCTGATCTTGAATGTGGACGGCTTCATCGGTGTGGCCTTTGTGGACTTGCTCAGGACATGTGGTGGTTTTACAAGGTGAGCTAAAATATACTTATACACTGGATGGCCTACAAGCGCAAGGCTTATTTTTACCATTGCAGAATTAATGGTTGGGAAGGAATTCTCAGACTAATAGGAGTCATTAGACAGAAATAATTGGTCGTACATAAAAGTATTTCATTCGGAATCACTTCACCAATATGGATAAAATAAGTACAGTTATGCAGTCGTCTTTACTAAAGATATTATATGTAACAATTCATGGATTTGTCTGTCTCTGCTTTAACTTCCATGGCAAATGACGAAGTATCCTTGACATACGATAACCAGTTAGCTGATTAGCTAGTGGGCGGTTTTCCTTCCACTGTTTGTATTGGTCACTTGTAATGGATCATGATTATTCATTGCTGTTTGCTGTGTAACGAGAATAAAACTTTAATACATTGCATGAATTGCAGCGTAGTTGCCTCAGGTAGACTTTCATCTGCAATGGCAGATACAACTACACCCATGATCTCTGCTTCATGACTTCATCAAATTAGTTCTATTGGTACAACTTTGATTGAGACCCCCCCTAATGGCTAAAGTTTTGTATTCAACCCTTTTTCTTGTTGTCCGTTCTGTCTCTACAGAGATGAAGCTGATGAGTTTGTGGAGATTGGCGCTCTGAACGGCATCTTTGTCCTGGGACGCAGCATGGGATTCATTGGTGAGTCAATGTCCAGACATACTATTCTGGTCTTTTTTACTTTATATATATCAATCAATGCTTCTGTCTCATCAGGACACTACCTGGACCAGAAGAGGCTGAGGCAGGGTCTGTACCGCCACCCCTGGGACGACATCTCCTATGTGCTCCCTGAACACATGTCCATGTAACTGGAGGGAACAAATCCAGCTTCCTGTCCGCAGTGTCTCCTAACCCCAGCTAATTAATCCTACCCATGCTGTGATCCATCATCAGTGGCGTAACATAGGGAATACATTCCTAATAATGTAGTTGTATAAAAACAGGTACTGAAAATAAGAATTTTATGTTTTTTGTTTTGTAAACCAGTTTGTGCTGCAGTTCTGTGAACACCCGTAAAAGCCGCTGAACTGTGAAGCTCCAGTCAAACAGAGTCGGGGTTTCTGACTTTGTGTTTGGGGGAATTGATGATGAATCAGGGGACGGAGGTACAGTGGATTATTTAAGTGTTGACCACCACCACTTGCTCACTGAACAACACTGAAGTACTGATATTTAGCCCTGAATATAATATTGTTGTATTAACCCAGCATGTGTGTCTGAACCTCTGTGCAGCTCTATTGATTGTGCCATTTAAAAACCATGAGCTTGCTACAGAGGATGAACATGTAGTGCAATAATGCCTTTAAATATAAGAGTACACTGTAGATCAGAGCTTTATTTATATAGAGATTCATCCACAACTAACAGGTACAGGAGTGTTTCAGTTTTGACTGTCTTGTTTATTGAGCAGTCTGCTTATTGTGGAGAACAATTTTAGGAATCAGGTCTGGCAGGTGGCAGTCTCTCTCTCAGCTGGTGCAAATGTTGGAGTATTTTCTACAAGGTCTCAATGGAACTCGAGAGTTGTTAATCATAAGAGCGAAAAATAAATATGTAAGTTATTTTCACAGCAAGTTTAATAATTAGGGCATTTTGACAGATTCCACAATGATCCCATTAATTAGGTTATTTTAGTTTTTGTATTTATTAGATTTGCTCTGTGTTAATAATGTACTTGTTCCATTACAAAGTTAATGCCATTATTATATTTTTGTGTCAGCAATATTCGACAGCAGTTAATTCTAGTTAAATACTAATATATATTTTATATTTTCATGATTAATTTGGTAGATTAATTCAATTTCAATTAATTAATTAATCCATCCTGTTGTTTAATTTTTGTGAAAGAGAAAGATTTTTAAGGTTATTTCATGCCCAGTATTAAGTATTGCCCAATCTATTATCTTGACTTGAAATAAATGAATATGACAAAAACAAAAGTGTCACCTTTAGATCATTTTTCCCACTTTCCACATCGCTGTTTCTGTTTCCAGTTTCTTGGACAAGATCAAAAGAAAATATGTGGCAGCCATCACCAGTGTCATCTTTTATGTGAATGTTACAAAATTGTAGAAAGGTTCTGCAGACAACCAGAAACCTCAGCTGTGTTGTCAGTGTTTGTTTGTTTCCAACTGTTTCATTGTGAACTCTGTGCCTCGGTACTTACCTGTCGTATGTTGACAACTGTGTAATTGAGTAAAATAAAATGTAACTGATGTTATGTAATAAAACAGTATAATTTCATTCTCGTGTTGTGTCTGTACAGTGTTGTCTTTTGTTAACGTTTTTTTAAGATGCAATTTGGAACAGTACCTTTGAAAACTGAATTAGAGTACAGGATACATGAGCAATTAGTTTAAATTCTGAATTCTGAATCATGGTTGTAACCAGTAACATGATAGTTAAAGGTGTGTCCATGACAAGAATAGGCTTTTGTTCGTTTTGTCTAGGTGACACATTTTACTGACATACCTAATCACAGTCGTTATATTTGTAATGGAGACTGTGCTATCCCTGTTATTACAAGTTGATAGTAACTTCTGCCCCTAAATTGATTAGAATATTATATGAGAGTAAAAACTTCACCTTGAAAATTATGGTCAGTTTTGGACTTTTTAGTTCCTGTTGGGGTCAAACTGACCTGAGTTTTTGAGGTTACATTTTAAAGAATAGAATAGAAAAGTCTTTATTGTCACCGTACAGGGGGAAGCAGTACAACAAAATCAATGTTAGAAATCTGTCTCTGCTAGATCACATCGAAAAATGGAAGTGTCATTTGTGTCATCGTGTGTGTACGCGGGTTAAATGAACTGAAACATTTATGAAGGTCAACAGGAAGTAAGTCTGAAGTCCCAAAAGATATTTTATTTTTATCTTATATGCACAAGTTATTATCCTGTGGGAACAAGTTGTGCAAACAGGTGATATCTGCTTAGTAAAGACATGACTGGCTGATACCTTGAAACACTAAGTTGCGTTTAAAGCTAAGTTTTGGTCCTTCCGATGACTGAGCCTGTTATCTTTTAGTTTGCACAGTGACATTCGCAGGTAAAAATAAAACTTCAATATTCTTCTCCATGCCAGGGTACAAATCTGGTGGCTCTGTGCAGTGATTAAAACCATAGACTGCATGTAAAGATTAGATTAAAACACACTAATTAAGAATATTCAGATATTTATCACACAGAATAAACCAAGGTCATGGTGTTTAAATTAATTATTGAATTATAATATCTGGGCCTGGTCACTCACCACATGAAGACATGAGTTCCTCTCATGAGCAAAGATCTGCTCTGGATCTGCCGACGTCGACATCTCCTCTCACCCACTGCGCATGTCACTAGTTCTGTCTGTTTACCGATGTGAAGTCAGTTTCTTAATCGATGCTTCCTATTGCTACCGTTACTGACTCCCTAACGGTCATTTTAAGCCTGTATGATAACTGTTGCCTGATTTTAAATAAAACGGAGTCGTTCAGCCTTGTTAATGAATAGAAATAATAAACACACAGAATCTAACGTGTTGTAAATCTGACATCATGTGTGTTCCCCTTTAACTCGCTCGACGTGAAACGCCGAAGAAGAAACGCGCTTCCGGGTTCGTCTGTGTTTTGACTCCATGTATGTGTGGCTGCGTATGTCGCCTCCTCTCCGCCTCTAGTCCACTTATCTCCCCAGCACTGCTCTCCTCCAGCGCCGGCAGCGCAATGGCAGCGGCGGCCCCCAACCCGGAGGACACTACCAGAAGCGGTGGCGGCGGCGGCGGCAGCAGCAGCGGCAGCAGCGGCAGCGGCACACCCAGCGCCCTCGCTGGAGACGGAGACGCGGAAGAGGCCGAGGACTTCAGCTCCTCCTCGCACTGCTCGGAGCTGTCGCGGCGGCAGAACGAGCAGAGGAAGCAGGGCTTGTTCTGCGACGTGACGCTGGCCTTCAGCAGCGGGGCGGCCACCGGGAGCGTCCAGAGCTGCGAGTTCTCTGCCCACAGGTCCGTCCTGGCCGCGGCCACCGACTACTTCACCCCCCTGCTGGGAGGACAGTTCTCCGAGTCTTTGACCGGTCGAGTGGAGATGAAGGAATGGAGCTCAGAGCTGGGGCCCGACCCGGAGACTGTGGAGAGCGTCATCCAGTACATGTACACCGGGGAAATACGCGTCAGCACCTGTAATGTACATGAAGTGTTGGAGCTAGCTGACAGGTATGATGTTTACAGTGCGTGTGCGTGCGTACGTGCGTGTGTGAACGCGCCCTAACCAGGCAGATCAGAATAGTATTATCTACTTATGGTCCCTGTTGTGTTTCTCTCTGTTGGTTCCATGTTAGGTTCCTGCTGCTGCAACTGAAGGATTTCTGCGGGGAGTTCCTGAAGAAGAAGCTGAGCTTGACCAACTGTGTGGCCGTGCACAGTCTGGCCCACATGTACACCCTGGACCAGCTGGCTCTGAGGGCTGCAGACATGATCCGGCGCAACTTCCACAAGGTAATCCAGGATGAGGAGTTTTACACGCTGCCCTTTCACCTGGTCCGTGACTGGCTGTCTGACGCGGAGATCACTGTGGACTCCGAGGAGGTGCTGTTCGAGGCGGTGGTGAAGTGGGTGCAGAAGAACGCCGATGACAGAAACCGCTACTTTGAGGAGCTGTTCCGCCTCCTGAGGCTGCCCCAAATCAAGCCTACCTACCTGACCAGGGTGGTGAAGAATGAGCGCCTGGTGGCCGCCAACGAGGCCTGTCTCCGGCTGGTGTCCGAGGCAGTGGAGGGCCACGCTATTCGTTTTGAAAACCTCAAGTCAGCTGATATGGAGCTCTGGTCTTCCCACATGGCCTCCTTTCAGCCTCGCTTTGGCCAGAACATGGACGTTATCATGGTCGTAGGTGGCGTGTCAGAAGGGGGGGACTACTTGAGCGAGTGCGTCGGCTACTTCATTTACGAGGACCGTTGGGTCAACCTGCCGCACATCCACAACCACCTGGACGGTCACGCCATCGCTGCCACAGAGACCCACGTCTACGTAGCCGGTTCTATGGAGCCAGGCTTTGCCAAGACAGTGGAGCGTTACAATCCCAATCGTAACACCTGGGAGCAGGTGAGCAACTTGACCACACGCAAACATTCCTTTGGCCTCACCTGCATCAAGGATATCCTGTACAGCATTGGTGGCCATGGCAACTTCAGTCCAGGTTTCAAAGATGTCAGTGTGTACGAGCCCGAACAAGACAAGTGGCACAATCTGGAATCTGCCCCGAAAATTCTGCGGGATGTGAAGGCAGTGAGTGTGGAGGACCGCTATGTGTATGTCACGGCACGTACACCTGTCGATACGGATAATGAGGATGGACTGAAGACGGTGACAACACGTTATGACACAGAGAGCCGCCAGTGGCAAGATGTTGACTCCCTGCCTCTTATTGACAACTACTGCATCTTCCAGATGGCTGTGGCCTCCACTAACTTCTACCACACGGCCTCCTGCTGCCCCAAGAGCTACACAGAGCGGGATGAGGTTGCCAAGCAGAAGATCAGTGTGCGCATCTCTGATGAGATCCTGGAGAGCCTGCCACCAGAGGTTACCAGCATCGAGGGTGCTGCCATCTGCCACTTTGATGAGGACGTCTTCATCATCGGAGGCTGGAAGAACAGCGACGACGTGGACAAGCAGTACCGCAAAGAGGCTTACCGCTACTGTGCCGAGAGGAAGCGCTGGATGCTGTTGCCGCCCATGCCCCAGCCTCGCTGCCGAGCCACCGCTTGCCATGTCCGCATCCCCTACCGTTTCCTGTACGGCTGCCAGCGTTACCCCATGCCCCAGAACTTGGCCCGCCAGCGAGATCGTATGCAGCAGATGCAGCAGCTTCACCGACGCACCCTCACCCTGCGCCGGCAGCTCCAGTCGCAGATTGAGTGTTGAGCAGGTCCACGTCTGCTGCTCCATCTAAGAACGTCCCGGTTCTGTCTGAAGATTCACTACAAACCAACCATCAAGCCATTCTCTCGCAACCATCGACCCTCCATTTGTACATTGCACGCCGCAGCGGGTCTTTTGTCATCATCAGCATTTCATGGTTTTAAACTCTGTCCATCCGCTCTCATACTGTGTTGTGTAAATGGCTGATTTGTAGAAAGCCATGGAATATGCAGGCAGGCATGTGCCGACCAGCTGGTGGTCTGTGAAGAGGGATACGCGGATGTAAACATGTGAATAAGAGTGTTATATAACAGCCAACAACTAAATATCTTTTTGTCAAGTATGTTTGTATAGATGCTGTTTAATAGTATAAAGCTGTATATGTAAACATTTATATGGATATTTTACATTCCTGTACTTGGAAGGCTATGTGACATAAGTAATTACTGCGTTCCTGCATTCAGTCCTAAGTCGCTTAATGAAGTCTCATTCCACCGTAACACTGTGACAATCTCCTCATCAGTCTTACTTAAATCATAGTTGCTCTACTAGAATGGCTCCGCTTGTTGCTGTGCAGCCTGGACAACTAAACATAATATGATTCCGAGAGGCTGTTGATCTTTAAGTCCTGTAGACTAGTTTGTTGTTAGATTGCAGTTTCTCTTCAACTGTACAGAATCTATTTCAGTCATTTCTGTTGCTCTTCTAACACATGAACACTACAAGTGTCTCTCCAGGTTTCAGAAGCGGTGAAATGACGAGAGAACTGTCGTGAAAAGATGTGATTAAATCATTCCTTTGAGTTACCGCAAAACTGAAACATGATAGTTGGCCTCTGCATTAAGCACTAGTTATTATCAATGGCTTTATCGTTACTTTTGTTTGCACTTTGAAAGTTCATTAATTGGTGTGTTCTCATTCATTCAAGAAAGGTACATGGAAAACGTGTATGTGTGAGTGCAGAGGGTGTGTATTGTGTATGATATGTGGGGTGTTCAAATGTCGCCCTGCAGAGAACAGCAAGAGCTTCTCTCGAACTGCACTTTTCGACATATAATTGTTCAAGTCTTACAGAAGCGTAGGGATTTAGGTTGCCACTGCACTTTGACTTTGCTTGTTTCATTTGTTTCATATCAGACAAGGTGATTGTATTTTGAAAATGTTTTAGCCATCTTTCAGCCAGTAAAGGTTTGATTTTGTATTTGAAAGAAGAAAAAGAAAACATGTTATTATTTGCAGATTTGTTTCCCTACATTAAATGTATTGCACAACCTTGTGTTCTTGTACTTCAATACCAGCTGAGTGTAAATCAGAGATCCACTCTGTTCTGTCCTGTCCTGTGGTCTCCCTTTACCCGCCAAAGAAAAGAGACTTTAAAACAAAAATCTAAATTACAAGCATAAAAAAGTAGGAAATATAGGAATGTGTTGTGACTGACACAGGTTTCCACTGTCAATGCAGCGTCTATTACAGAATGGAGCTTACAGAGTGAAGAAATGATATTCATTTCCACGTCATGACCAACACAAATAGCACTGCAACCATTGAGTGGTATAGGCTGTTTAATTTACTTTGCATGTGATAAGTCTGACATTGTGCCCTTAATATTGGATGTAAGAAATGCTAATGTCATCACTTGCAAATAAAGTTGTTTTGTAAGACAGATGGCTGCGCATATAGTGTATTATTGCTTTCTTAGTAGTAAATCTATAAATTATACATGCTAAAACACAGTTAAATGATTTAAGTCCCACAGTTTCAGCTGTAATAATGGAAGCTTCCTACTACTCTGTGGTATAAATGACTAGAGCCTATTTTTCTTCCATTACCAGTGTTATTACATGGTCCCGGAGAGAAAGGAGCAAGTAGGAACCTTGTATCTTCGGCTTTGCCTCGAGGGGGAAGAGTTCAGACCGTCCCACCCTCAAGTTATCTAAGTAGTAGTGCTGCCTTCCAGTGCTCCTCGTTGGCTCGGAAACTTTAATAAAAACACAAACTGAAGTCAATACAATGCGTTTTTGTCCGTGCCGAAACAAGTGCCGCCTTAATTTTTTTTGTAAGTCATAACCTATAAATTATCCGTAGTAAAATAATTTTCAAGACTATTTAACGCTTTATTTTGCCAATGAGTCACACGTTTTCCCGAGTGTACGGGAAGGAAGCTTAGCCGTTGAGGCACAGGCTCCACATCAACGAGGGCTCACCGCCGATGACGAGCTCTCAGTCAAACTAAGCTTTCACGGATCGAAAACACAACTCAACAAAATGGTAAAAACCTCCAGTAAAGTTTCTGTGTCACTGTGAATATCCAGGATTGACCACGCTGCTCCTCGTACATGTTTACCAGCTAGCTAAAGTGTGTTGACTTACTGTATGGAGGTTAGCTAGGTGGTTTGTCTTTGTTTGCTAGCTGTATGCGACAGCTAACACACTGAAATATTTATTATATTATAAGTACTATTGTGTCGTGTGTTTTTGCGCTTGGGAGTGTATTGTACGCAGGAAGTAAGCTAGCTAAAATAGTGTGCTAGTCAGTCTGATGCTAACGCCTGACTGATCAGTTAGCATGATGCAAAAATGAATTCCAATGTGACACGTTTTGTAATCACTGTCTCATGTTCTCTCATTAAGATCCCGGAGTTGTCCAACCCCTCGGTGTGCATGAGGGACCCAGAGAGGGTGCAGGAGATCCTAGAGTCCATGATGAAGGCTGGCTCCAACACCGTGCAGGTACACACACCCTGTTCCCTGAAAAGGAATCTGTCCATTAGAGAAAACATGGAAGCATTTTTTTATAATATAATCTTTCGTCTGAAAAACACAGGTGATCTCAGATTTTGACATGACCCTAACACGGTTTGCACACAATGGCAAAAGGTGCCCTACGTGTCACAGTAAGTCCAGTTGTGGGTTTTTGGGGGGGTGGGGGGGTCTTCTTGCATACAAAAGTTGGTGTGTGGCTGAACTGTGTTTGATTTATTTGCAGATATTCTTGACAACAGCATGCTTATCTCAGAGGACTGCAAAAAACAGGTAAGATCGAAGCAGGATTTCTATTGATTGGACTAAGCTTGCACGGAACATGTAGTGGCATCAATGTAACGTTATAATGTGTGTGTCACAAACTGAAGAGTTGTGTTTACATGTGTCATTGAGCCATGCATATGTTGCAATACCGAGCAATGTTTCACAGAAGATAAGGTTTTTATAACATACAATTTACTGCATAAAGGACACAGCCTATAGAACAGCCCATTTTAGAATATAGTCATTAAAAATTGGAACAGGTCATGCTTCGTTGTGTAATGGCATGTTGTTGAAACACTCCCCACTCCAGGACTTTTCCAAAACTATTATATTTTGGAAATTTCCTCTAAATTAATGCTTAAATGTTCAGTGTGTAGAATCATGTGGTTAACAATCTAGTGGTGAAGTTGTATATTGCAGCTGGATACCCCTCACCTCATGGTAGCCTTCAGTTGAAATGTATTTAGTTTGTCCAGTCTGGGCTTCTGTAAAAAACATGGCAGCCTCCCTACAGAAGACCCACTCCTGATGTAAATAGTATTTAAATATGAACAAATCAATTATCAAACAATAGTACAAGTGAGATATTTTAATGATTTGTATCAGTGACATATTGCTTAATGTATTAAAATTGCAATAATTTAATATGTAATATAAAGTATTAAAATATAAAGGGCCATTCTAGGGTAAAGAAAACAACTGAGATGAAACATACTAGTGAAAACATCACTGAGACTATCTTGTATTCAATTTCTGCCATTAGACCCCTTTCGCCTAAATCTAACACACTTCACCATTAAATATAAGCTATTGTTAATGATACATGTGTACAATCAATTCATTGTATAATTAATTTACATGTTTGATTATTTCATTATTAGACATTAAGCATTACATCACTGATACATACCATTAAAATACCTCACTATTTTTGTTTTGACAATTTGTTGTCATACCATTTTCTACTGCCCTCTAGTGGATGATAGATGGAATGGCAAACGCTGCCCTTACAACAGTCTTGCTGTTGAATCTTTCTGATTCAAGTGGCAGATTTTTCAGTAAGGCCAGGAATCTTCTGAGCATTACATTTTTTAAAAGATTGTCTGGAACAAGTCACCATTGTTGCCACTGACAAATTCAATGTACTTAGGACATTATCATATGTCTGAACATGTGATATAATATGACAAGAAATCGTCAACTGAAGATTACTTCCCTTTTTGAGTGGTTTTCTGACTCTTTACCCGTCTCCTGTAGCTGAAGGATCTGCTCAACAAATACTACCCCATAGAGATAGATTCTTCACTGTCAATAGAGGTGAAGTTGCCCCTCATGGTGGAGTGGTGAGTATCTTAAAACGACTTTTAACTTAAATATAATCTTCTGCAATTTCATGCCTTCATAAAACTGTTCTGCTTTTGTCTCTGACAGGTGGACTAAAGCCCATGAACTCCTTGTACAGCAGGAGATCAAGAAGGACAAGTTGGCCATTGTGGTGCGGGAGTCTGATGCCATGCTGAGGTCAGTAAACTTGCCTCCTCTTAGTCCATTTTGTAGTTTTTAGTTAAAAATATGTAATAAGACCTTTTGAACTGTAATAGTAACTTGATGTTTTCACAGGGACGGCTTCCAGCTCTTCTTTGATCACCTGCATGAGCACAGCATCCCTCTGCTCATCTTCTCTGCCGGAATAGGAGACGTCCTGGAGGAGGTGATTCGCCAGGCCGGGGTCTTCCACCCCAACGTCAAAGTCTTCTCCAACTACATGGACTTCGATGAATGTGTGAGTAGCGACACCACATTCAAACAATTCAACCCCCACACAGCAACGATGAGGCCTAGGATGATGGAGACTTTGTCTTTGTGTACTTACACAGGGAGTACTGAAAGCCTTCAAGGGAGTGCTGATCCACATCTACAATAAAAGGGAAGGCGCTCTGCTCAACACCGGCCACTTCCAGGAGCTGCGGACACGGCCTAATGTGGTGCTGATGGGAGACTCTCTGGGAGATCTGACCATGGCTGACGGGGTGCAGGACATGGAGAACATCCTCAAGATCGGGTTCCTCAATGATAAGGTAAATAAAAAAACCACAAACACTCATCAAAGTGACTGGAAAACAGTATTTTGTATCTGTCAGCTTTAGATGAAGTGCATATGAATATGTTCCAGTCCACCCTCAAATAGCTGATGAAACATTTTACCATGGTGAAGCCATATACCTCCTTTTTCACCAAAATTAGCTGGAATATGCAGGTTTTTTTAAACGCAAGTAAACATGCAAAGATGATTTAGTCCTTTTGCATTGCCAGTAAAAGAGTTTGCCTTTCTGTTTTGTGTCATGTTCCGTGTTTGACGTCATGAATGCACCGAGGCACTATCTCACCCCGCTGTCTGGTCAAATTAGCGCGCTCACCCAGGTGTCATGTTTCCATCACTGCCGATCGGAGCAGATTAAAACCCATATCTACTGCAGAGTCAGTTGACCTGTGAGTGAATGCCGATAGCATCCATTCCCATTGATGACTAAAGCCAGATCTTAGTGGGTTTTAGAGGGTTTGACCAGTCTTTCTAATACACACTTGTTTGTTTTCCAGGTGGAGGAGAGGAAGCAGTCATACTTGGACTCGTATGACATTGTGCTGATAAAAGATGAAACCCTGGAAGTCCCTAACGCCGTACTGCTCTACCTCACTGGCAACAAATGAACTGAGAACTGAGTGTTCATTGTTGGCTGGCCTTTGGGGGCTCTCTGTTGCAAGACATAGAAGCCCATCTCCAGATGTTATCGACAAACCAACTAAGAATGGTTTTAGTATTTTTTACTTTGCTAAAGGTAACACACTTTTGTGAATGAGTCTGGGAACGCACAGATTGCTCTATGAGTCCAGTTTTACCACAACTGACAACAGCATGTCACCCTTTATATTCTTGTCCTTTGACTTTCCTCTCATGTTTATACCTATACTTCTTTTCGAACATACTATTTATAAATATTTGGTGGAAGCTAGAATGGCACTGTCTACCCACTGTGCAGCATGTTAAGAGTGTGTTAGGTGATGGGGGCTGTTCTCTACTTGTTTGAAGGACGATTGGTTGTCTTCTGGTTTTCATATAGGAAATAATAAGGGAAAGAAAAACATGCACACAGTAACAGTGTTAAACATCTGGCTTGAAACTGATATCCAGCCTCCTGCAAAAAAACTATTTTCAGCTCATTTTAACCTGAAACTTGATGCTTTTTAAATATTCCATGTTTAGTCTCAGCCACGTCTTGTAGGTTCTGGTTATATAGTCTAATATACAATACAGGTTGTAATTGTAATTGTTTAACACTGAACGACACCACAGTGCTGGCACATGGTTCACTATGATATTATTATAGGGGAGCTGAAATATCCAGATTTTATAATATTTAATGTCTGAACTCAACAATTATTTGTGAGAACTGCTACCTCCACAAAAGCATTAAACATTTTTAGTCGTTTTTGGCTGCACGTGATTTCACCTTTAAACTGTAAAGAAAGGACACCTTTTTGCACTCCAACAAAAAGTTTTGTAAAACCTTTTTAACATTCTAGAGTCGAGAACACAACAGTCAACAAAGACAGACTTTGTTTTTCTGTCATTTGTGCCACAACTCTTCCGTTATTTTGTCTAAACTCATTTGTTTGAAATAAAATGTAATTTCATCTGTTTCGGTTTCATGTTTTCTTAAGAGGCTACAAGATTGAACTGATTCACCGGTGCATGAACAGGGTGAGTGGAAAGAAGAAAGCTGTCTTTTGTTTTTTATAAAACTGTTTATTTTTTGTTCCACAAGGCAATCTGTAATATAAATGTCTATTTTACAATTTCTATTACTATACAAACTAGCAACAAGTTTCCAAACAACCTGTACAACCAGTGGTTTTAATCATTTTTATATCAAGGAAATGATAGGCACAATACTGGCTACAAATTTACTTAAAAGTTTTGCCCCTCCCAAATGTTTGTTGGGTAGTTTTGAAAGTAAAGTAGGACATTTTCTTTATAGATATTTATGTCTTTCACATTTTTAAATACATCTGTCATGTGCGTGACATACTGACGCTGTAAACTCTAATATTTTCTCGTGCTGTGAATGTGGTTCTGCTGCAGTAGCTGTGAGATGTCATTCATGTGTTTAACGAGAATCAATTAAAGCAAACTTTGTCCGCCTTAAGGATGAAAACTGTTTCATAATCCGAAACATCCTTAAAAACAACGGCACAACAGCTGCCAAGACAACAGTGTGACCCCAGGCCTCTTACCACCACTCAAAATACTGAATGTTCCTTTTAAAGCTCATCTCGTCTCACTTGTTCCTCCACCTGCTCATTCAGCTCGTCTTCTACGATCTTCCCATCTGAGTTTCGGTCCTGGTTGTTGAACATGTCCTTGATGATGCTGGCCGTGTCGACCCCTGGTCGGAGTCGACCCTTGCCCTCTTTAACTTGTATCATAATGAAGGATGTGAACTGGAGAAAATGAGAGTGAGAATTATTTATCTGTTTGTTAAAATAATTTGTTGTCTGCTGATACCTATTGAGGGTAAATTCAGCATTTAAATTGTTAGACTGAACCTTGCTTGTCTGCGTACCTCCTCTAGAGGGACCTCTTTGTCACCGTTGAGGTCCATAGCAGGAAAGAGGGGGTCGGGCCCGTCTCCTAGCCACACGAACATGTAGCCCTCGGGCACTCCTTTCTGCAGCTCCACCAGCTCCAGCTCAAAGAAGAGCACAGCGCTCCTGGGGACTCCTCCGGCTGGAGACCACAAGACAGAGGATAGAAACTGAGACTCAGGGTGAAAAGCAAATGTGTGTGCAGGGTGTGATCTACACAGATCCAATGACTGACCTCCATCTTCACCGTGCCCCCAGTGGGGAGGAATGACCACCTCCCTCCTTTCACCCACGCACATGCCACTCAAACCTTCCTCCAGACCAAGAATCACCTTGCTAGCTCCGAGAGTCGTGGTGGAAGGTGAGTCGTACTGATCCCTGGAAAGTGACGTGTAACATGTTACCAATGATTTCCACATTAAAACTAAATATAAAAACTTTCCCACGTATCAAAACCTTGAGTCATGCAAGCCTACGTGCTGTTGCCATGGATACGTATGATATTTGAAGTTCTGAAGCCACTGAAATGGGCAGACAAGGGAGCCAGCAATGATTACATGCATGAACCAGGCGAAGGAGGATGCAGTGTAGCAGAGTGAACAGCAGAGGGGTCTCACGAGGAGTACAGCAGGGTGCCGTCCATCAGGGAGCAGTTGTAACGATACTGAATCAGGTCGTCAGTTTCAGTCATCACATTGCAGTCCCGAGGCTTGTGGGTAACTTTAATCTTAACCAGGTCTTTGGGATTGTGGAAATCGATGACGTGAATTTCAAAGACCAGCACGGCAGAGCCAGGGATCAGGTCTCCTACAGGCAGAGGAATAAATAAATAAACAGGGCAGTGTTACAAACCTAAATCAGTGGTTTGTTGTTCCAGTCTGAAATCCTGCATCAAACTCACCAACTCCATCTTCGCCGTACGCCATGTGAGGAGGAACTGTTATCCTCCGTTTCTCTCCCATGCACAGCCCCTGCAGTGCTTTGTCCATCCCTCGGATCACATATCCCATCCCAACGTACGTGTTATAAGTGCTGTTCCTCTGGTAGCTGCCACGAGAAGAGTGACAGTAAGCTTTCATTTTTACTTACGCCTCCATCGCTTTCTGACAGCAGAGAAATCCCAGCTGGTTTACCTGGAGTCGAAGGCCGTGCCGTCCTGGAAGGTGCCGTTGTAGTGGTAGCGGATGTAATCGCCCTTCACCGTCCTGCGGGTACAGGCCACAGGCGCCTCCTTCACCTCCACTATCAGGTCGTCCTTGGGGTTGAACAAGTCAACCAGCAGCACCTCAAACACCAGCGTGGCCTGGGGGGGCACCGCAATTCCTGTTAGGGCAAAACAAAGCAAAGAGCTGCAGGTCTGTACTTGTCAAATATGCTTAAAATAGCTGTACAAAGATGAAGTGAAACGAGTGGCTGCGTCAGAGGAAGGAGAATCAATCAGTGTCCAGTGTGCTTTGGATGATGAAGAGCAGAATTTAAACATTTATTTGACTGTGGTTAATCAGCCAAAATGTGCCAAACCCACAGCTTCTTTAAAAGTATATTACAGAACTTTGGCCTTTCATATTACTTATGATTAAAGCAACACTGTGCAACTTTTACAGAGCAACAGCGACACATGCAGCCACACAGTTATTAATTCTGTAGAGCTCCGTGTCGGCTTCATTAACTCTGGTTACACTCACTGAGCTGATGGAGGATATTCCTTATGATCCCCGACATCTTGAACCAGAAGTGGTGCCGCTGTAAAAAAAATACACCAAACTGTTCAGAATTTTGGATTTTTTACGTTGATGTTTAACGACTTCCCAGTCTTTTTAATTGATCTAATGTTCAGCATTACTCTTGAACTTGCTGCTGTGACTATCAGTCACACACTTCCTGCAGGAGATCTTACCTGATCACACTCATTTGAAGCTGCTATTTTCAGGCTAAAAAGTTGCATAGTGTTGCTTTAAGAAGGCTTTGAATCCACCATTACCACCCAACATGTGCAAAAGCCAGATCCTTGTCAAAGTCTGTTGAAACATGAATTAATTCAAAATTGTAGTTATTGTATGTAAATGTAAACATCTAAAATCAAAAGCAGTACTTAAACATATTAGTATGGCCTCTAAAATGATTCTTAGAAGGTTAAATTAAGATGTTCAGACACAAGCCACAGCAATATTTAATATCATTATTTAGTACCCGAGCCGTTCTCTCCATACGCCAGGAAGGGTGGGACGATGATGAGCCGTCTCTCAGCAACACACATGCCCAGGAGACCCTCCTCCATACCTGTGATGAGGTCGCCCTGTCCTAAGTAGGTGTCATAGGTTGTATTCCTCGAGTAACTGGATCAAACACAGGTCAAAGTTGTTGAGAAAAGCACAGACGCTGACAGGACGTAACTGTTAGTGCAAGACGTGTTTGGTCTCACCTGGAGTCAAAGGCCTCACCGGACAGCAGGGTGCCGTTATAGTGGTAACGGACAAAGTCGGATGCCACAGTTGTGCGGTTGCAGCTCGCGGGTTTGTGGAGGGTGCGGATCACGACCTTGTCCTCAGTGTTCCATATGTCCAGCAGAAGAACGTCATACACCAACACAGCATCAGCAGGGATTACACCACCTGTCAAGACAAGCAAGCGCAGATCGTCATTAGAACAGGTAAAGGTCAACAGGAAAGTGCAGCGACGGAATCTGCAGTCGTCTTTGTCCCACCTGTTCCTACACTCCCAAAGGCCAGGTGCGGGGGGATTGTGATTTTCCTGCGTTCGTTGACGCACATGCCCTGAAGGCCGCGGTCCATCCCTGTGATGAGTCTGCCCAGGCCGACCTGGCTGATGAAGGCTTTGCCTCGGTCATGACTGTGGATGGTAAAGGGAGAGGTTGGTGAGAAACAATGTAAGGTAGAAATATCAAAACAGTTTGAATCCTGGGAAAAAAGACTGCAATCGTTGTTCTTCTGGCTCAATGACATGACGCCAAGAACGTTTTATATAACCTTTAAGTCAGCATCCAATGTTCCATCCACGCCAACCACATCTCATAACTTGAGGGGATTTGATGTCTACAGACCGCTCCTGAAAATCCTTTATACATCTTTTATTGAGTCAGAACAGAATCAGCATGAACTTGAATAACCTCGGCCATGTTTATACAGTTTGTGCCAGACAGGAAAGGCCACTCAACACACACTTAACCCAGAGTTTTGTGTCCTTTCATCAGGGAGGAGGTTTACCTTCCTTAGGAGGAAAACAATCTAACAGATACTTCAGATCCTTGGTCCCATCAGCTGGTGAGTTTTAATACAAGCTCTAGGTCAACTTGATATTAGGACAATTGTTTTTAGGGGTCTTTCACAGACATGAAAACTTGTATTGTACAGAATAAACAATGCTGTGGTTACAGTTTACTTAAAAAATTAAAGTTCTGTATATTTGGTTAAATAATTGTTTTTTTTTAAAATGTATTATTGTTAAACTGTTAAATGTCAAGCATCAATTATATTTCTTTGTCATAAGGGTTTGATAACAACATTTTATTATGCATTCATGCAATTCTTATATATCAGCAGGTATTCGAATTTTGACTCGCCCTGAGCATAAGCTCCCCAAAACACCACATGTAGAGGCTTGTTTGTCACTAGGTCACACATTTCTACAATCTTAACAAAACTACCCACAATTAATTTGTGAACAAAACCAAAGTCAAGCATTTATGTTAATCTTAGGTGACACCAGGTTGGACTGATGTATAGTAGTACTGTCACAGATAAATGAATCCATGTTTCTGACACGTCTGCAGCTGTTATCTCAGCTGCAGTGAATTGTGTCTGAACTTACATCCATCACAGTTTTAAGGCTGAGCATGCCTGTGTTTACCGCAGCTTGTTCATCCATGACGCTTGACGAAATTCTATACTGTGCATTTTAATTTGCACTGGAAATATAACTATTTCTGTAAGAGGGACAGTTCATATCAATACATGCAACTGAAGCGGTACTTTTGCGTTATTTAGTTGCTTTGATGTTCCTTTGAAGCGTTACAGTTACTGCTCCTGAATTCAAACATTCATCGAAAAAAAACACGCAGAGCAAGTTTAAAATTATTAATGAAAGAATTCTGTACTGAGTTGTATTAAATGACGCATTCTCACCTGGAGTCAAACTTCTTCCCGTCCGCAAATAAAGTGCCGTTAAAGTGATAACGGATGAAATCCTCTGTTTCAACCTCCCTAGGACAAACCCGGGGAATGTAGTACCGATCCACTACAACGTCCACTAATATCTCAGGGCTGCAGTTCACAGAGACGACGTGGAGGAGGAACAACACCGAGGGTCTGATCAGATCCATACGGAAAAAGTGACGGTGGCTGCGGAAGCTCGCACGGCTCAGGGCTCGTCTGCCAGCGAGGGGGATGAGGCTGAAGTGCAGAGAGAGGAACCAGTTTTGGGACGTTCGTCTTAAGTGAAGTGCGCTGGAAAAAGATAAAGTACTTCTGGTTACCGGTTACAAAATAAAAGCCATTATTTTATGTAGCTTAGGAAAATATGTATAAAAAGATTATTGTAGTGTTTAAAATGCCACAAAAATTAAAGAAGATTTTATAAGATAAAGTCTCTTGATCCCATACTGGGAAATTGAGCCAAGGAAATGCATGAATAAAACATAAAAGATAACACCAAATACTATGTATATTATACATAAATTAAGCATAAACTAAAATAAAAAACCGAGTATAACATAAGGAATTAAATGCATCAACAATTAATAATAAAGCAAGAATGTATGGAAGTTGCAATAAACGATTAGTATCACAGAAGTTCCAATTAAGGGAATAGGATTTTTTTCACAAATTTCAGTGGTTCAAAATATGACTATTTATTGTGGTGGCAAGTGAAATATTTTCAGGGGCACAAAGAAGTTGCACTCTTAGAAATGGAACAGAATATGTCAAACAAATTCAATTTTGTCAGGCTATGCAGTGACCCTATGTTTGTAACTCTCAGCATTGAGCAGCAGTACAATTATTAGTTTTTTTTAATAATAATAATTATAACTTTATATAACACTTACAAAGGGCTTCACAAAATCCATGGCAAAAAAAAAGTATCAATCAGAATAAAAGGTATTCAATTCAGTTCAATTTTAAGAGAAACCCAACAATTCCCACATTTTTTCTATATTGAACTCTTTTACATTTATTTAAATTTAAACTTTTCCTTATTTTGAATTCTCTGTGATTTTGCTCTTATGGCATTGCTCAGCTGACCTGTTCCTCTCATCCAGCCCTTTGTATTGTACAGTTGACCCTGTGTAAACTTACAAGTACAACTTTTTCTGATGGTACGTAAAGGTCCAGTGTGTAAGATTTAGGTGAAAGGGAACAATTGGCAGAAATTTAATGTAGAATAATCCTCATGATGTTTTCACTGGTTCGTTTCATCTAAATTGTATGAATTGTAGTTTTCTTTACCCCAGAAAAGACCCCTCATATCTAAATACTTTATATTTACATTGAGGGGGTCCTCTCTACGGAGGCCTCCATGTTTTTTACATTAGCCCAGACTGCACAAACTAAACACCTTTTGAGTTTTTATGACAACTGAAGGATTCCACAGGTTGTTTTTCATGTTTGGAAGGGGAGGGTGAGGTGAGGGGTGTTCAGCTGCAACATGCAACTTAACATCTAGATATCACTAAATTCTACACACTGTACCTTTAATAGAAATTACTTTTTCTTTGCTGCAGTAACTGTCAAGTATTTATTCTTTATGCTCATATTATATTCATACCCATTTACCACATTTAGTTATATTTATATTTAATCATGTCAATTACTGCAATTTTGCACCTTGTCTTTTGTGTCTTACTCTCTGTGAATGTTGAACTGCTGCTGTGACGCAACAATTTCCCAACTGGGATCAATAAAGTTCATCTATCTATCTATTTTTATTGTGCTTTTATTTTGAACGAGAAAAGGACTGAACTTCCGGCCTTGTTCCGCCTCTCTTGGGTCATGTAGTCCACAGAGCTGCAGCAGGAGCAGGAGAAGGAGGAGGAAGATGAGGAGGAGGAGGAGGAGTGGCCCCTGGGCCCCCACCCACTTTCTAATGGAATTCTGCAAACGTGTAAAGCCTGGGCTACAGGCCTGGACCCATGATTTCACTCACGTATGAGAATCATAATGTGTCTCACCATCATCTGAAGTGATCTTTTCAGTGTCAGTCTCTCATACACGAATCCTCTTTCTATTCCTCATGTGCAACTCTGATATCCTATAAAACATCTTTTCAGAAGAGGCCACCATCAGAGCCATGCCACATAGATACGAAATGTGCAGAGTCAGGGATTAGATATTAGATTTGCCCAGAAGTGATGAAAAAGCCAAGTCTCAGCTTGTCAGATGTCCTTGGAATGTCGGTGCAAATTCTAACCAGGTTGAAAAAACATGAGTTCTTCACACATCCAGTGAATTTAATGCAAGTTCTATTTCCAGTTTGAGAGCTGGAGTCAAACAGTCATGAATACAAACGATGACAAGAATTAGATCAGACAGGAATAACGACGATGGAAAACACTGAGGAGAAACTGGACCTCTTGAAGTCTGAACTCACGGTGACGTCTCTGTCAAGAAAACCGGAGTGAACACCATTAATACCGGAAGTACAGGCTTGTGACTTCAAAGTAATAGTCAGACGGTGTTGACTGACAGCTGAAGCTGCAGATAACAATTAACTTGCACAGTTGCGCCATTCAAATTTTTTTTTCTATATATGAAAAATACTGAAATTTGCTTGATGTTATAGGTTTGTTCGTCTAATCTATACAGAAACAACAGAATTAAATGCACAATCATGATAAACCAGAGAAGCAACATGATCTTTAACCCTTAAATGTGCAAATTATTGTTTTCAAAGTCCATTAAATCGAGGGTACTATATGTACAAATACATTGGTTGATGATTAGTATCAATATATCTTAGCACACATGATGTATTTAGCACAAATGTATGTATTTCCTTTGGTCAAACAAATACCCTGGTAATGCTTTTCACTGATGCAAGAAAAACAAATGTTCACGTGACATGATGTTCCCTGTGATTCAGTTCATTTCTAAATAATAATAATAATAATAAACAACAACAATAAGAAAAATACATTTGGTTCAGACACCTACACCTACAATACATCATAAATGAACACATAATGTATAATAATTTAAGCATAAGATGTAAACACATTAATTTGCAACATAAGCAACATAAGAATAGTAATATCAATATTGACAAGATGAAAGCCATCAAATGCGAAAACGACTGTGTCTTTTATTTTGACAGTCGTGTCCAGAGTGTGTTGTTTTGTGCGTCCAGCTCACCACAGCTTTCACAGCCTACGTGCAGGCAGACATGAGCAGAGCCTGGTGAAGACAGAGGAAGCCTCCTGATCCATTCAAAACAACAACCAGTCTCCTGTCTGCCGGAGCCGGTGGAGGTGACGATGCTCCTGAGAAGCTTGTGCCTGGCCCTTCTCCTCCCGGCGCTGGCGGAGGCTCAGTATGAGAAGTACAGCTTTAAAAGTTTCCCCCAGAAGGACATCATGCCTCTGGACTCTGCGTACGGATACGCGCTGGAGCAGTACGGGGCGCAGAACTGGGGAGAGAGCGTCAAGTTCCTGGAGCTCAGCCTGCGGCTCCACCGGCTGCTGCGGGACAGCGAGACGTTCTGCAGCCGCAACTGCAGCTCGGTGAGCCGGGACAACGACACTCTGTTCGCAGACAACAGCCTGCGCGTCGTGCGCCACATCCTCCTGAGAGCTGCGTGCCTGAAGAAGTGCAAGGCGGGGTTTCCAGTGTTTAAACTCGCGTATCCACGAAGGGATTTATTGGAAACTTTCGACCAGAGGATTCCGTATCGATACATACAGTACGCGTACTTCCAGGTGAGATCCAAATATGTGCAGGGTTGTGCACAAAACTAAAGCGCGAAGTAAATGTAGGCCCAGACACTGAAATCAGAGGTTACTCCAAAACGACTTAAAACAATAAAATATGACATTGTAACTGTAAACCCATGACACACTCATAGGTATAGTCATGGTGTGATTGAAATGTACGCGAATAAAGTTATTGTTTTACTTATAAGAGAGTGATTTTCCAGTTATGAACTATTTTTAAAGTGATAAAGAATTGGAGCATAGTGTTAATGCGCATTTTACGTCACTGCATCTGTGCGTAAAGGGCACAATCTCTCAGCCAAAGTATCCTCAGCAGTTCCATCCATTCACATCCACTTTGTCTCACCGAGAGGAACATTTCAAGTGGGCGACCTGTGGAGGTTAAATACACGGCTGCTTTGTTGCGCCCCCCTGCTGACCGAGCGGTAGTTGAGCATGTGCCACGTCTCTTTCAGTGTTCCCCTGAAACAATCCCCTTATTCTTCTCCATCACAGGCACAGAGATGAGGAGCAGCTGTGCCTACGAGGCAAATACGCTGGTTTTGTTTTGTTATAAACTTGAATGTAAAATAGGTTTTGGTTTTGGGCCAAACCCGGTCCAGGGAGGTACAAACTCCAGGTTATTCTAGCATCAAGAAGAGTCATCCTATTGATGTGTTAAAAGAGAATTGCCAACTTGAGAAATCCCTTAACTCTGACCGTTTTGATCCTTTAAAACGTGGGTGTGTTACTGACTCTCATCACAAGGTATGTTGTCTGAAACCTTTAAATTAGAGGAGTCTGTAAACTTTTGTCTTGTTTATAGGATCTGGTAAATTAAAAGGTGAAACAAAGCTCTGCAGCTGCTGCTCCCTATCATACGATACGATTTAAAGCAGCCACACAGGAATTAAATGACTGTATTTGTATTAGGACCATGAAGATCTGCAATTATCAGCATCAATTCTTTCATGAGAGTTGACTGTATTTTACTAAATTCATCCTTTTGGCCAAAGCTGCGACGTTAGGGGGGGGGGGGTAGGGGTCAGAGGTCATGTTGTCCTGTGAGTAATGAAGATGACAGGAGACATTAAGAGAGACAGTTCCATTTTTCTATAAATTCACCTAAAATACTGCCATATCCATTTTAACACTATCTCCTACACAGCTCAATAACGTGGAGAAGGCTGTGGCGGCCGCCCACACCTTCCTGAAGAAGAACCCGACTGACCCCTACTTGTCCAAGAACATGAACTACTACAAAACGCTGTCTGATGTGGAGGAATATCTCATCGACCACGAGGAGCAGCCTTACGAGGTTCGTAGCTCGATGCAGCCGCTGCTGCTGCTCCTTCTCTGGTTTGCCTGTTAAAGACATCCCATCGTCACTATTTTCTTTAATCGCATCTATTTGTTTTCCAGAGCGTTTTTCTGAAGAGTGTGACGCTCTACAACAGCGGAGACTTCAGCAGCAGTGCCCGAAACATGGAGCAGGCCATCACGCAGTACTTTGAAGTATACAGCCTCTGCTTAGCGGGCTGCGAGGGCTCGTATGAGATCTTGGAGTACAAGGACTTCTACCCAACACTGGCAGGTGAGTAGAGCAGCAGTTAAAAGATTAGCTGCAGTTCAGCATCTTTTACATAAGAAAATAATCCAGTTCTTCTCACTGCTTCCCTCAGATCTCTACACTGATGTTCTGAAATGTAAGGTCAAATGTGAGGCACACCTGACGCCCAACGTCGGAGGATTCTTTGTGGAGAAGTTTGTGGCCACAATGTATCACTACCTCCAGTTTTCTTATTATAAATGTAAGCACCAAGACTCAGATCCAGGTTTTTGAGAGCGTGCTGTCAGTGTGATACCTTTATGTGGCTTAGATCATTTTGTGTTCCTCCACAGTGAATGATGTAAAGAACGCTGCTCCGTGTGCAGCCAGTTACATTCTGTTTGACCCCAACGACCAGGTGATGCAGCAGAACGTGGCTTATTATCATTTCTACCAGGAGCAGTGGGGCCTCGTGGATCGGGACTTTCTGCCTCGGCCTGTGAGTGAGGACCTCTGTATGTGGGGGGCAATATTATTTGTGTGCGTGTAGAGTTGTGTAACTGTAACTCAATCCGTGTTTGCATAATCAGATTTGAAAACATGATATAAATATGTAAACTTATAGTGAAATTTAAAAGTGTGTTGAGATTTGTGCATGGAGAGAAATCTGCAAGAATAATGCATGGATCTGTAAATGTGCAGACGCATTTCTACAAAGATATTAATTGATAAATGCAAGTCATCAGACAGGCTTTGCAATTAGCTTAGAATTTTCCATGTGATTTTTGCTGCACCTCTGCCGTGTACAATCTGCAAATATGTGCTACAACATTGGCCCCATATCTTTACTGTTAATCCATTTTGCACATCTCTGTCCTTAATGGTTAAACCAGGCTCAGCTGACGTAAGCAGGATTGTTTAGAGGCAACAGAGGGTTTATGCCGGCTATGCTAAACCAGAGCAGAGCAGCTATAGCATAAAGCGGTCTTAGCGTGAACATAAACACAACCTCAGGGTGGTAATTAGAAACTCATATACTCACATAAAGACAGACTACTTTTACCGTTCCTTATTGCTTTGTGGAGAGTTGGCAGCAGCTGCAGTGCACCAGCTTTGTTTGTAGCCAAATTGACTCATAAATGTAGTAGCTCCAATTTCAAAAAAATTTGTTCCCACAGTTAGAGTGACTTTAACCCTTCCAGACGGAGGAATGAAAACAGGTCAACTGTTGTTGTTGTTGTTGCTCTGTGCAGTCAGTGTCTGCTACAAGCTGCTGCCACAGCACGAGAGCTGATGTGACATTTGTTTTTCAGGAGGCCCAGAGGTATTTTAACCAGACGACCAAACAGAAGGAGATGCTGGAGTTTGCACTGAACTACCTTCAAACAGACGACGAGGTGCGTTTCTACTGCTGCACATGCAAACACACAGGAAGGGTAGTAACCACGTAGCAGAAATCCTGTTTATTTTGTTATCAGACACAATGTCAAATAGTTTATTTTACTATTAAACGGGAGTTTCTGTGTTCAGGGACTTTTTCTGGCAAATGAAGGTTAAAAATAGGGGTTGCAATCATGAAACGAAAACAAAATTTACATATAAAATTCTTCTGTTTGGTTTCATGTTCTCATGTGCATCTTTTTGAACCTTCGCCTTCCGTTCCGCTCCGATCTGTGCGAGCGAAAAGGCCAATAAAACAAATGCTTTTCGGAGAGTTCAACTTTGGTGAACTTTGACCTATGATATTTGCTTCGGATATGCATTGTGCGACCGGGTTCTGAGGATGGGGTCTGGTTCAGGAAAGAATTCGTTATATTTTGGTAAAGATTTTTGTAAAACATAGAGAGAATAGAGAACAATGCATTTTAAAGTCTGCTAATGTTGCCCGTCATTAGCTATGAATCACAACCAAAACCAGCGACAAAACCTTGTAAATTCAAGTTCATAATCTTTTACAGAAGCTAGTTACTCTTGATTTTAAAAGATTATAGTTTTATGACAATATATACAAATTACTGGTTAGAAGTAGACAGTCAGTGGATAAAACATAATCTCCATGGTGGAGGTAAAAATGACACATTCTAGATGGATTATGATGAGGTGTATCATATCTTTTTAATTACTCCATGTGGTATCGCTGTTCTAAATTTATATGATGAGGTTTCCAGATTTCTATCCCTGGGATTTTTTCTTTCAACTGCACAAACAACATCTATCATGCTGCGGTTGCACCAGAAGTTCAGAGACAGACTTCTCAAAACCTCAGGAGATAAAATCCAAACTGTCTGCATGACTAGACGACCCCACAGGTACATAGGTATGAAAACACATTTTGTAATCCGACACTTTAATGACTTAACTGGCTGATCAAGCTGGAGTAGATATGATTTCCTGTTTAGACCTTAACTTTGAAGGAGCAGACAAAATGAGATCTTCTGTTTGAGATTATTTGATTATGGGATGCAGAAAAGAAAAGGACAAAAGGCCCTAAGGATGAAAGGGGCAGACAGAGTGGGTAAGGAAGAGAAAGCAAGAGGGGGGCTGTGTTTTCCGCCAGCAGCGTGTGGTATGTGGCTAGGAGGTGTCGGCCACTGAGGCTGTGCCACATCTATTTAACTCAGGTCAGCTCCTCCCAGCTTCGCACAAGGCCTGGACCAGAGAGGGGGGAGGACTGTGAGAGAGGGTAGGCTGAATAAGGCGGCTGCACAAGTGACAGATTTATAGGCACTGGAGGGAAAAAGTATCAATTTGGCCAGATGGAGTGGAGGTTAGAGAATGGAATACTTGCTTGACTGAGTGTTGTGTTTAACTTTCAGGACGTGGTGAGTCCAGAAGAAACAGGCGCCTCTCACTCGGAGAATCCCGACGCTGAGTTTGAGGGGATGGGAGACTATGAGGAGTCCTTCCTGGCCGAATGGTGGCAGGAACCCAAAACAAAGTGGGACGCAGGAGAGGTCATGGACTGACATCTGACCTCGTCCGTGAGAGGAGCGGCTCCCTCGTCCAGCTCTGTCCCACCTGTCATGACAACATACCAAAGACCGTTGACCTCCCCCCCGCAGACGGGTCGCAGAAAAAGGCTCAACTCTCTCTTTAACTCACACACACAGCTCTTCTCTCTGAGGACGGATTTATCCATCATGTTGATCAAGTTCAGAGATGAGATATTCTGTCATGGCTGTCATCAGCCTTTTTTAAAAAACTGTTTTGTGTGTCAGTGACGTTTCTACAGTTTTTATTTAATGAAAGCTGAATGCTTCAGTGTTCTTGTATAAGGAATCTGATGTGTAGTTTTTCTTATACCAAAAGGTTTTTCAATGGCCAACTGGGGAGTTGCTATAATAGTAATTTGAAATTAAATAATATTTTAATATACCTATTTTGTTTTTGTCAGTTCATATTAATAAGATGAAAAATCGGTTGATCAGTGTTAAAATGATCGGATATCAGGAGAAAATCTGAAAATATTTTCTTCTTTCTTCTGATTTATCTCATGAATATAAAAACCAGAGTTTTAGACGGATGCTGAGACAAAACAATCGATTTGAACAGTCAATGTTAGTGCTGGGAAATAGATTTTTCCTGTCATTTTGACTAGTAAAACAAAAATACATGAATTGAAAATAAAAATAAGCAATTACAGCCCTATAATTAATTCCAGGCAAAAATATTGTATGTATAGTTACAAAATTGTGTCTTTAATTTCTTTTTACTTTAATTTAACGTAAGATAAAGATATTAAAATGTTTTTTAAAGCAGAAAATCAAATAAAACCCCAAGTTAACAGCATAAAAAGCAAATACCAACATGGAACGATGGGGACATGCGAGAATAGGATTTGTGATTCAATGTTTTAGTATTTTATTTTCCCTTAATTTCCATCCATCTACTTTTCTTAGTTCATTTCATTATTCTCGTCTATATTCAAAAAGATAGTGTCTAAAAATATGGGGTGAGATGCATCTCATTTTCTTTTTTCTTTTTTTCCCCCTCAATTTCACGGATCAAAACAAAGATTGTATTTGATACCAACTCTGTACATATTGTAATATAACAATAGTGCATCTGCCATAGTGCAAAGCTCAAACAAACCAAACTGACCTCATAACACGTGTCAGACAAAGCTGCCTCTTGGACCCCAGTCTAGATCTCTTATATTAATCTCATTTACAACAGTGGGAATCTTACAAAGTCTCCAGGCGTGTGGCGTTCGCCCGTGGACCTTGGGGCTATCAACAAATGTACAAAAGATTCATGACATTTTAGTGATAGCTGGAATGATACGAGAGAGGGTGAGACGGCGGCCTCAGCTGTAAACGCCGCCTTTACAAATAAACAGTAGGCGCCTGACTAAAGAAGAGATCTTGCAGATGTGGGTCGTGTCGAGAGGCCGATAGCTATACGTTTGCTGAAACTAAATTTGAACATAGCTTTAAATAAATCTTCATACAGTGCAGTAACATTCAGTACATCTTGCACATATTTACAAAGTGGTGTGCATACAGTTGGCTAGTGCTCATTTTCTGTAGATACATGACATTAAAAACGGTTGGATTCCTTATTAATGTGCTGCGTTTGTTGCCATGGCTGCAGCGCACAACAGGTTGTAGAAATGAATGATCTTAAAGAGGTAAAAACCTGCCTCTCTATCTGTGACAGGAGTGTTCAAGATGTACATGGACACACAACTGTCCCTAACACTAATGTAAACACACATACATTCTTCCTTGTTCTTTAGAAATAACTCGCACCTGCACATTCGCTCGTGCAACAAACACACGCAGTAAACCTCCGTAAGCGTACAAGTGCGGCCTGAAACTGGTGAGCGCACACACACAGACGAGATTATCGTGGAATGTATGTCGGTTTGTCTGTGATAGGAAAACACTAAGTTGCGGTCTCTGCTGCTTCAAAGTTCAGTGTTTGAAAATGATCCCAAAACCATAACACACCTAACTTCCTTTTTTTTTTTTTTGTACCTGAAAACTTGTGGTGGGAGGAGAGGGGAGGGATGTCTCTACATAAAGCACAATTAACAATGAAACATAAACTCCATTGTACTTCCTCAGTCTCTCTTTGGAAAACATGCAAACAACAGTCCAGTCTGGGATTTCGTCCACTGTGAGACGAAGTCGAGAAATCGAGGCGTTGCCTGGAGGAACTGAGCCTCAGGTCCTTTAAGAAAAAGGAAACTGTTCACTTCCTGTTACTTGAATTCAGTCTGTCGGACAACCAGTCAACAAGTCCAGTGTTTAACCAGGACCAAAGAGTGTGTGTAGACAGGCATTGGAAAGACGAGACTTAAATTGGGCCAACATTGATATGTTCTTCATCAGCCTGTCTGAGATGTAAGGAAGGAGAGACGCAGACACTGCAGAACTTCTTAGAGCCAACACACTGGAGAAAGACTCTCCTGCAGAGAGAGCCACCTCCTCGCCTCAGGTCGAGGCCCTGACGCCACCGTCAGTGGTCCGCTGGCCGCAGACACACTGATACGATTTGGCTGGTGAGAGATGAGAGGAGCTCTACGGGGCCCGGCTGGGGAGGATAGACAACAGGAGCAGACAGGGGGCGTGTGGAGGACACGGTAAACCAGAAGAGGTTTGGAGAGATTTTGGGTCAGGAGTGGAAGACTTTCTTTTTTTTTTTGTTCCCCTCTTCTCCAATGTGGAAATGACACAGTGCGAGGAGGAAGACAGGAGTAGACAGAACAATAGAGATGGACACAGAGACAGACGTCTTATCCGCCACCAGATCTGAAAGAAGTGAAAAAAGGGAAGTTATTAAGAGGAGGAAATACAGCAGATGGTTGCTTGAGTGACAGAAGATGAAGGTACGGGAAAAATGGAAGAAGTCGTTCAGCTTTGCAATGATGAAGTGAATTTGATGGGATTAGGGACGAGGATAGAGATTTTTAAAAAGCAAGATTTGATGTAAAATGAGAAGCAGTTGTTGGGGTTAAGCAAGGGATGATCAGATGGTGGATGAATGAGTAAGTAACCAAGCCGAGGAAAGGAGGGGTGGGATGGGATGTTTTACTCCATGGACAGGATATCACACAGTCATGGTCCTACAGGGTTATACCTTCCTCTTCGAATGTTCCTGCATCCCAGGAGCACACGGTGAGAGAGAAAAGACAAAATGTTAATACATAGGAAATATTTTTGCATTACCAATTTAGAAGTTAATAATTTTGTACTTGAGTTGCATATTTAAAACAAAACAGGACAGCTGCACAAGAAAAGGATCATTTTACAGATTTATTTTAAATGTGGACATAAAACAATCAGTAGTTGAATTTTTTTTTCTGGCTTTAGATTTTAGAGCAAAAACATGAATCAAATCATGACTCAGTCATTGAATCTGTCAGTTATCTCCTCATTCATTTCCAAATCGTTTTCTTGCAGGGTTTAAGTGCTGACGTCACATGCAGCAGTAGCTATAGCACCGGACCTCTCAGCCCCAAAGGGTCTGACAGGGCGCTGCACCAGAAGCTAGTCCATCGTCCCTCTACACCAGAGATCTGACTATAGGAAGAGGAAACTTCCTGATTACAGCTCATACACAGACATTTACCTCTGATCTTTAAAGGACTGACTGCATTTTTATTTTAATTAGGGTATTTAGTTAAACACATCTTTCTTGTTCATTTTAAGGTCCAGTTAAGACCTGGTATTAACATCCCTCCTTAGAGAGTCAACAAGTGTTCAGGGTTAAACTCATCTGGTCACACCTGGTGTTAGAGTGTGTCCTGAAAGTGCGTCACATGCTCTACATACAATAATGAATTAATTGATGCTGTGCGTAGTTTTACTGAATGAATCGATGCAGTGCGTTGATCTGCTACAGGAATTGATGCTAGGCATAGATCGACTAAATCAATTGATGCATAGATCAACTGAATGAATCTGAATAAATGCTATGTGTAGAGCTACTATAAAAAAGATTTGACACATTTGAAAATATATATGTCATTATGTGGTGGTCAGTGATGATATTGTGATGGTGGCCACAAACAAATCAACGTATAACAGTGAGAAGCTAAAAAATATGTTTAAACTGTAGCAGGCCTGAGGATGGCAGCTTTTACACGGCTAAATAAATTGTTCCACATCTATGAATGTGGTCTGAGTGATTGGATCTCAGGATACATTTGGGCTCATTCAGACCTTTACATAGCGCTGACCACTTGTGATCGGATCACTCTGGACGGATGTTAACACCAGGGCTGAGAGAGAGTGAGGTGGGGAGGGCAGTCCTTTTAGGTCAGAGTTTAAAGAACAACAGCCAGCATGCACAGGAGGAGCAGTGCAGAAGATGCATAGCAGCGAGGGCATGTGGGGGTGCTGCCTACAGGGGAAGAACAGGATAATGCATGGTAAAACATTACAAAAAGTTTGCCCAAGTTTATCCACGGTAACCATGATGCCCTTCAATTCTATACATAGACTCAGGTAGGGGTGAAACTTCCAGATGTGGCACCAGTGGATAAAGCCACATTAGTTCTAGCAGTCATAAGAGAAGCTCTGCAATTGTTCCTGGCAGGAAAAAGAAACAAACTTTTCGGACGTGCCCTGTCACTACTACAAAAAAGGTAGGGCTAGTGAGGGGGGGAGAAAAATAGGAGCCTGGAGTTGATTACAGATTCGATCAAAGTGCGATATCTCATATGAAGCTAAAAGCAGTTCAAGCATTAGCACGTCTCAGACTCGACTTCCAATTTCCCCTCCCCGCGGGGTTCGGGTGTCTACTTCAGAGGGGGTGAGAGTGGGAGGGGCAGTGTGTGTGTGTGGGGGGGTCCTTCGGGTAGAAGCAGACAGGTACACAAAGGCATGCCAGAACTCTTACTTAAATCCCCATCCTGTTCCCCCTAGGACTATAGCTGCCAGGAGAATAGCACCTGCGATGGACCCTATTATGATATTGGTGCCACTGGGACCTGCGCAGAGGAAGGAGGGGGAGGAGGAGGAGGAGGAGGAGGAGGGGCAGAAACAAAACAACACCACTAAAAAAAAACCACACGTCAGAGGACAGCATCAACACGTTACATCAACGACATCAACTGGAGAGAGAGAGAGAGTGAGTGAGAGAGAGGAAAGATGGGAGGATACCTGCAGCAGAAAAAAGAGAGATGAGGGGAAAGAAGAGGAAACCAGCACGTGGGTGGGGTGGAGGTGGGAGAACAGGCGGGTGAGCGAGGGAGGTTAGGGAGACAACAGTTACAAAGAAAAAAAAGGGAAGCAGAGAGAGTTTTATTACTTTGTTCTCATTCCACCTCTCCTGCTCTCTCAGCTGGACACCCTCATGCTCAGGGTGGCTTTGGCTTTTTTTGTACCTATGAGAGCAGCTGCTCTTTATCTCTGTGTCATTGGCAGACTGCAAGAAAGTAAAGGAGACACTTGAAGATGGCAGCGCCTGCAAGACACACACACACACACACGCACACACACGAACACACGAACACACGAACACACATGAACACACACGAACACACACGAACACTAACATACTGTAAATGCACATATGCTCTTATCTATAAACGTGTCTTAACACACACCCACTCTCCCAACATTTAAACCAAAGGAAGAGAAACACTGTGAGGCCTCGATATTGATGTTAACTTTCTCACAAAAATCCGGTGACTACTCTCCATGTTTGCGCTCTGCTCCGGTACATAAATAAGCTCCGGTGATGATGGGTAGAGACTATGAGGGGGGATATGAGGGGCAGACAGAAAAGAGCGACAGGGGCAGTTCGAGAGCTGCCATATGGACCTTTCTTCTCCGGGCCGGTTGGGACTGTCGGCTCTGGGATGGGGTCAAAGACGCTGCAGTCCTTCCCCGTGTAATCCCTGTCACAGATGCACTTCACCTCGTTGCTGCAGGTCTGTGAGAAAAAGCAGCAGAGACGGAAATCGAGCACAAAGATTACAGACGAAAGATGAGTCGAGCACAGAGGTGAAAGTTAAAACCTGCTGTTGGGCCTTAGTGGGGGTCTGCACTTTACTGAGTGTTACTCAAAGGTAAGGGAAGGTACAGGAAGGTACAGGTTCAAATATTCTTTTTACCCCGTGGTCAGAACAGATGCGGCCAAAGTTGGATCCAACACAGGTGCTGTGGTTGAACGCCGCCACAGGGAGGCAGCGCCGCTCCAAACACATCATGTTGGGACCACAGGGAGTGCCATCCTCCACATAGCCCAGATCAGAGCCGTCCTCCAGCAGAGCATGGCCGCCTCTGAGTGATACATCCAAATATGTCAGACAGGTGGTAGAGGTGGTGTTTTATTTCCTTGAAGCAGACTAAATGGCTGTGACACATGTACCTGCAGTCCAGGTACTTGTTCTGATGGTAGAGGGTGAAGCTGGTCACCTCACCCTGCAGGTCTCCGAACTTTGGCTTCATCGTCACATTGGCACAGAACAAGAAGCCACATAAAACATCCCTGAAACAGAAACAAAAGATGGAAGTGAATGACAGAGGACAAGTCACATCAAACTAAGGAAATGTTCACAATACATCAGTTCTTGTTTTAAAGTTAAAAAAGCTTAAACTTTTGTGTTTTTAATGATTTTTTGACACATGGTTGATACTGTGACTGCCCAGATGAGTGGTACTTTTTAGTGAGTGAATTTAAATCGATAAAAAGTCGTATCCTTTCAGGACACTAAGACTCAAGTAAAAGCAGTTGCAAAGAATCAGGGATGCATAACTCACGGCTTGTTGCACTGCAGCCAGCCCTGGCCTTCAGGACCTGGACCGCAGTTGCCTTTTTCTGTCCCCTCAGCGTTCAGCTTCTCGTAGCAAAACCTGTCGGCTGAATCTGGGAGGGCAAACGTAGAAAGAAGGTGACGACATAATAAAAGTTCAAAATAAGTCTATGCAACATGCATTTCTCCTGGAGACAGACATGGCTGTGCTTTACATGTGTTTTATACGTACTATAACCCCACAGTCCTTTACACTGTCCATCACGAGTCCTGCATCGTCCACCATAACAGCGGCCCTGAGGACACGAGACAACAATCATCAAGTATAAGTCAGAGTGACCTGCAGAGAAAAATGCCACAAACCAGCTCTTACCTGACTGTTATCGCAAATGTAGCCGTCCAGCTTGTGGACATTATGAGGACACTGCAAAAGAAGAAAAGTACATAATGCACCTGACGCTCTTTGTTGATCTTACAATTTTCTTTCCACACACAGTCAACTCTACCTGGCTGGAGTCGCCAGTGCAGGTCTCTGGGATATCACAGTCGTTCACAGCGTCTCGGCACACCACGCCTCTCTGCTCGTACTGAGGGACAGCATCAAACGGTGTCAGGTTAAAAAGTCCAGCACTTCAGCAGTTAATCATGCAGGTGTTTAGTAAAGCATGTCAGTGCAACAATCAGGCTGAAAATGAAAGCACCAGGCCGCTTGCAATTTCATTCTTACAGTTGATGAAATATGTTGAGAGGAGCTGATTCCAAATGTGTCGATGATAATAATTCAATTTTGAGTTTCACAATGGAACAGGTGTTTTAGCTCAGCAGTCTTTCACATAAACTCATATTTCTTTGACTTGCTGTAACAAACTTTTTTTGCAGTCGAATGCCTTAGTGGTTTTTTTAACGGTGGAAAAGGGGCTGTCAACTCACTTTGCAGCCACTGCAGCAGAGTCCATTACTGCACATGGCATCATGGGTGAGCGTGCACTTTTTACAGCAGGCTCCTCCGCTCCGGGCACACTCCTGCAGCCACAGTCGAGAAAGCAAAGCCATGGACTTGTGTTTTCAGAAAACGCCGCACGCTCCGGTGCTCAAACAGAAACATAACATGGAGGTGTAGCTCGTCTGCAGCAGGTTAAAGAGTTGGATTTTACTCACCACCTGAGATCCACAGTCACACTCCTCCCCTGGCTCCACGAAGCCATTCCCACACTCTGGAGGATCCAACAGCTGAGACACACAGAACAGTCCAGATATGAGAACGAACTGTGGGACTCTAAAGTCTGAGAACACACTAAAAAGTGCAATATTTTTAGGCAAACATGGAAATAACCAAAAGGTTTATGGTTTTAGAAAGTTATAGCTTATGATGAACAGTCCCTGAGGAGAGCAAACCTTGAAGAGCACATTGACTAAAATGCATCAGCTATTTAATTAATCTGCATTCATATGCAGATAGTTGTTAATACAGATCAGTTAATATCTCATCTGGGCCTAAAACACCTACAAAAGTTTGTGTTTTGATTGAAGACAGATTCGACCTGTGTGATAAAAGACCTGTAAACAGTGTTCAGTGAATGGAAGATGAAGTCATGGCCTGGATATCCACTGTTTATAACAGAAGCCCCAAAATATTGTCTGGTGCCCCCAGAGGCTTAATCATCATCTGATGATAGCCGAGCATGGTTTTCAAAATAAAATGAGTGTCTTGGAGTTTACTGTCTATGACAAAAAAAAAGAGTAATTTATTTAACTATAAATAAGTTATCTATTTATTAAATAAGAGGCTTCTGTTACCACTTCCCACATGGCCCTCACCTTGCTGGGCTTGTTGAAGAGACAGCTCCCGCCCCCTTGGAGCAGGAACTGGATGTACTCATCAACACTGCAGCGAGAAAACTTTCTGGGCAGATAGAATCTGTGTTCACACACACACACACACACACACACACACAC